GTTGGATGTGAAGGTGCGTTCGAGGGTGAAAGTGAGATTGACTCTCGCTTGAGTGAAAATACGTTAAAACTCACTGAAATTCACTCGTTCAAGCCTCGCTTGAGCGAAAATTGGTATTTTTCACTTGAGCGAATGATGCGTTTCTCATATTTATTTTATATCATTAATAAATTATAAATATTATATTCCGTCATTAAATTACAAACCCATATAAAGAGACTCGCTCACAAATTTGACATCAAATTTTGAAAACTCACTCGACACACTTTCACCTTCGAGCGTGCCCTCACATCCAACATATAAATATATAATTATATAAATATATCAAAATATATAAATATATTTGTATTTATATATTTATATATTTACACGGATATATATTTATTTGTATATAAATATAATTTATTTGTAAGTTATTATCAAAAAATTCGAGTAGTTTAGTGGTTGGAGTATCGACCTCCAACACTAAGGTACTCGGGTTCGAATCCTGTCGATGACAATAAAAGATGATAAATAATAAAAATATAATATAAAAGAGAGGGGATCTCTAGATAAATAGAGAGAGGGGAGAGAGGTTGGAAATAAATAAAAATTTTCGATTTGAAAGTCAGGACTTTCCACGTCGGTTAAATAGAACCGACGTTGAAAGTCCCGACTTTTAACGTCGCTGATACTAACGTCGGTTCTGAACCGCCGTTGAAGGCCTTCCAGAACCGATGTGGAAAACCTTATTTGTAGTAGTGCTAGCTCTTTTGACATCCATACTTCCTTCATGACTCACCTTTAAAATGTTTCATATTTCTTTGGCCGAACTACATTGGAAAATATTGAAAATTCATCAAGATTCAAAACATAAATTATAATATTTTTGGAAGTGCAATCATATTGTACTCTTTTATTTTCTGCATCGGTTAAATTTGACCATCCCAACTAATTTTATCAATTAATTCAATACAAATTTTATTTTTATCTTTCATAATTAGTAGTTTATACCAAAAGATGAGAAATGGATTAATAAACACTCGTTTAATAAAAGGTAACTTGTTTTTAGTTATTAATGCTATTTAGATCAAATCTTAGAACAAACCAACTTATAGAAATTGTTAGAATTAATGATTGTTTAAAAGGGAGTTAATTAAACTTTATAAGTTGTCGCAATAATAAATATTAAAACCAAAATGATTTTTTCAATTTTACAATTCAAAAATTATTTTACTGCAAAAATCAAGATACAGACCATTGGTAAAGATTCTACCCAATAAATTTTATACCAATTAACTGAATCCATGAAGTACGTCCAAGTCAATTAATATAACAGATTTTGGAATGTTATACACTAAAATCAAAATTCACTAACATTAATATCCTCTCAATAAAATTTCCTAAGAAGAGTTATCCAAACTCTTGATTTTCAGTCAATCCTCCCACGGGCAGTATCTTTGATGATAATGGTCCTAAACCACGCCTACAATAATTAAAATATTATTGACACAAAAGCATGTAAAATATAAAATATAATAGAATTTATTCATGTTATATATCATATAATAAATTCTCTTTTCAAAAGAACATTCATTGGTAAATGAAAATAATAATAATAATAATAATAATAATAATAATAATAGTTATGTTAAAATAAACAGTTAAGAAAAAGAAAAAGAAACTATATATATATGCTAAAGTAAAACTTTATTTAATTTTTTTTATCATCTTCATTGAGCTTTTTCAACATTATTTTTAATCTCAGAAAATTTAAGTGATTTTAACCCTATTTCAAATTTACTTAGAGGAAATTAAACTTATTAGACAAATTTCTCTTCTAAAAAAATGCAAAATTGTACATTTGTACCCATACTTTCATACAGATTTTAACTTATAATTCATTAAAATTCATCATCTCATATAAAATTCAGTAGTATATATTTTAGAGTAAACTAGCATAGATTGATGTGTTATACACATCTTGAAACCAACTACTTCCAGACTATTTAGAAAGAGAGGAGAAGAAACAAACTTATTCATATCAAAATTCTAATAAAATAAGAATGATATACACGGTGATTTTGACCTACCATAAAAAGTAAAAATGGGACGAATAAGTTAATTCATTATAGTAATAATGGTTGTAGATCCTGAACCCTCCATTAAAAGATGGATAGATGGGTTGACTTCATAATTAAAAAATAATAATTTATTTTTTTAAAATTAAAATGTTTAATAAATTTAATAATAAGATTATAATTTATTTATAATTATATATATATATATCTCAAATTAATAATATAAATCAACATAATATTTTAAGAAATTATAATTTAAAATAATAATAAAATTTATATAATAATAAATAAAATTTTATTTTTTATATTAAAAAATTAAAATATCTATATTTTTTTATTTTATAAAACTTTATATTATTCTTCCTTTGAGTAATTTTTACACATTTAATTTAAGTCATAAGATAAGAATAATTAGTATTTAAGATGAATATGAAAAAGATAATGAACAAGAAGAAGAAGAGGAGAGAGAAATTTATGTTAGAGTAAAAAAGAATATTTTCTATAATAAGTGAGAATATGACTTATTTGTAATTCTTTTTTTACCATTTTTAACTTTGTATATTATCTTTATGATTAACTGTATTATAATAAAAAATAATTTATTAATTAGGCAGAATGTGAGTTGATTTATCTCGTTGGTTAGATGGATTGACATGTACTATGAAACAGACCTTACAGGTTAAAAATACCAATCTATCTTATCGAACTTAGGTCATTTTGTCATAAAAAAATTATTCTTAAACATACAAAATAAAAGGTGAAAAGTTTAGACACAAATTCGAGAAAATAAATTCTTTTAATGATTTTTACGAAATAAAAAATAAATTGTTTAATCATTCTATTGGTAACTTAAAAAACTTAAATAAGTTTATTATTTTTTCATCAATTTAAAATTTTTTGTCAATGTTCACCTTTTATTTTTTTGTATAAATGTTAATCCCTGATATATTTCAGGGATCTTTTGATTGCCAATTAAGTTACAATTAATATAAGCTAATTAGCTTTACAATTCAGTTATAATTAAATTTAAAATTAGTTTTAAAATCATGATTTAATATATTTCTCCTTTATTGTGTTCTCTTCTTACATATTATTGATCATAATATACTTATTCTGGAGCTTAATTAATCTTAGTTAAATTGAGCGCTATGAACTTAAACCTAAGAAATATGCTTATTCTGATGGAAAATTCTGGTTTGAAGATAAGCATATTCCACGCGTGATTAGTGAAAAACTTACATCACAGTTTGTCCTTCCCAAAATGTATACTTCTTTTGTTTGTTGATGAATTTTGAAAACTCATTCAAAAGAAAGGGCATGTTATTGCTTCTAATGTGATTCCTTGGCTTTTACTTGCTCCTTTTTTAATATTTATAACAAATGTTTTGAAAGTTAAATAAAGTAAAACTGAAAAAGAAAAGAACATTGATTTTGAAACATCATTTGATTTATTAAACATGTAATCAAATTACTATTAAAGTAATCAATATTCAAAGAATAACCTATTAAAGGGACGAGCATCATCAGTTCCACCAACAAACCAAATATAACTTTTAAACTATTGTTTTATTATAGCCACACATTATAAGTTCTCTTTGTGCCCCATATAGTTTATCTTATATCTTTGTTAATATTTTTTTTTAAAGATGAAAAAGTCATACTGACATTAAACCAAACACTCTTGAATAGGCAAAAACACAATGGTACTTTTTTTTTCCAAATTACCTACCAACAGATGAATTTTAGTTTGATTAAAAATAAAAAAATTATAATGTATTAAATTAACTAATTTGAAAAAATAAAAATATATTTTTAAAATTTAATTTATATTAATAAAATTAATTTATATTTTACATATAAAAATTTAATATATTATAAGAGAAATATTTATTCAATTTTAAAATAAAAATTAAAAAACTTAATTTTATTCTTATTATTCATATTTTAATAATTTAATCATTTTAAATAATTTATTTTTATTATTAAATTCTAAGAATAAACAAAAAATAAAAATTTATTATCATACTTAATTCATTCTTAACTTAAGTAATTTATTTAAGTTATAAGTGAAATCAACAGCGCTAAATTAATATTGTTGGATTTATAGTAATATCTAATCTAATTTATTTCTCGATCTTATTATTTTTTTTAAATATAGATATTAAACTTATTTTGGAATTTCCTCTAATTTATCAAAATTTTATAAATTATATAAGTTTTTTTAAGACATTTTCTTATGCATTTTTTAATCTCTACCAATTTGTTTCATATTTCAATAAATCGACATACTTTCATCATAAAGTTTTGCAAAAATATGTTGTTTTATTACTAATATGGTAGTAAAATGTATAAAAATTAAAATTATAATGGTAAAATGTGCAAAACATTTTATAACTTATTTATAAAATTTACAAAAAAATTATGGTAAAATTTATAAAACAATAATAAAATGGTAAAATAAAAGTGCGTGTAAAGAAATATTATTTGTACTCAAACGTGATTAACTTATTCACACGAAAAATATAATTAGATTATTTTTTGTTAGAATAAGAACTAGTAAGCGATACTAGATAATTAACTCAATCCACAAATTGAATAAAGAAATAAATAAGCCACAATTTTATCAGTCTTATATTATGAAAATGGGGAATCCAAAGTATCTTTATTCCATTTATAAGGTCATACAAATAATATCTTTGTACTCAAAACCGTTTTAAATTAAAATTATCAAATAAATTTTTTTGAACTTATTTTTTAACATTAATTACTCAAACTTTTAAAAAAAATTAAAAAACAAAACTAAATTAATAATAATAATAATCAAAATGTCATGAATTTACTGCATAACAACACAAGTGTTTATTATTACAAGGTAACACATCAAGTTTTGCACATTGGCTCACTTCAAGTACACGAGCAGATATGAATATGCACATAAGCTTATGAAGTGAGAGAGTGAGGAAGAACTTTATATGGGTTGAGTATGTGATTGGGGTCCATCAAATTCTTGATTGATGCCATCAGTTGCACCTGTCCAATTTGATACCACTTCAGACATTCATTCAAATCACAAGTTTACATTTTCAAACACAAACACTACAACTTAATTCAATAATAAATCATTAATATACATACAGTTTCACGTGACTTGCTGTAGAAAATTTTGTTGGCTTTCATTAGTCCTAAACCATGCTCAGCACTAATACTCCCTAGGTGCTTAGATGTCCACTCATATACAAAAGGTTCAATTTGGGACAGAATCTGCAAATTTTATCACTCATAATGTTACGAAAACAAAATTTTCATAACCAAACAGTTTGCTGAGTTTGCATGAGCTACCTTGTCGTCATCATAATGAGGAGTAGAAACGTTCAAATGCAAATTACCATCTCCAAGGTGACCATATCCAATTACATTAGCTGTATTACCTACAATTCAAAAATAAATAAACAAATAAAATACAATATGTTCATGCATGCACCACTATGATACAACAGATAACACACATATTAGTCTTTCTAGGACACAACTAAAGAAATCAAGCATATCTTCTTAACTATATTATGTCTGCTCATTTCTCATCTGAACTATATACGACAAACTTGGGAAACAAAAATGTAACTACATGGCAAAAGTTTGTCTGTTCCTTACCTAGTTTAGAGCGCATTTCTTCAACAAGATTGTACATGTGTTCAAGAGGTATGGATAAATCATACTTGTAAACAGCTCCTGCTCTCATCAATGCCTCTGGTATACCCTGAAATCATTAAATAAAATCTAAAAACAATCAAATAGTATTTTCATGAAAATAATTAAAAGTTCATATTGAATTGAAATTTTAGTTACTGATAACAAAATTATTGCTGAAAAGTAAACAGAAGAATAACACTTTTGGGGGGATGGGGGAATCATCCTCTTCAAATTCCTTAGAAAATAAGAAAAAACAAATCTAGTATCTACACCATAGTAGTTATGTTTCTTGCACTCAATATGTTCAAATATTTGGTTATTTTGTGCATCTCAAGAAGAGTCTACACTGGAAAAGCATCCACGAGTGTCAAATGACAGCAGCTGAAATCAGAATAAATATGAACAACTTGCCCATAAAATGCAAAATTAGCACTAGCAATTTAGCAGGAAATTTATACCATGTAAAGAGTAAAAGTACGAAATGATACAGAAAGTTTGAAGTGAATTAAAATTTTCTATAGGATGAAACTGCCCATAGAGCATTAATAGCCAAGCAAGTGGATAATAAAGGCAAGTAGGTATCAATAGCTTCATATGACATTGGTATAAAAAATCCCAATGCGAGGTGTATAGCTGACCTAACTAGGCCAAGCCTTTTCATTTTAAAGAATGTATGAATACAGAAGAGGTAAAACTGACTCAAAAAATTAGAAAACCAGCAAGTATGAAAAAGCATGGCAGTGATATATACTTCATTTTGAAAAGAGAGAAAGCATTTTTCCAAAAAAGATAATAATGGAGTGAAAAATGTCAACCTCACGGAGAAGCCAAAAGGATGATGCTTGGTTTATGTCTTGTGCAAGAACACCATCAGATATCAAGTCATTCTCCATGGAGCCAAGTAGAAATGCTTCAAGCTTTTGTCTGAAGGTATCAAAATAAATGTGACATTAATTAAATGCTCATACTGATAACTAAAGCAAAAAAAAAAAAATCGACAAATAAAAAAGTCAAGGAACCTGTTGACGCAAATTTAAGGTTCATACTTCAAAGCACAGAATATTTCATTTGGATGAATTCAGGATGCTGTAAGTGAAATTATGGAGGATAAGATATTTCTAATAACTGTCCCTAATCACTTAATTATTAGACTCTTCCATACATTCTTCCACCCAACCCCCGCCAGAGACAAGAGACAAAATTAGCATTAAACAACTCCAATAATGTAACAGATCACACTAATCTTTGTTGAAGGAATTTAAACGGAGGTATATGACTGATCAAAAGTCAAAACAGCTGAAGTCAATGTAATTTACTCTGTTAAATGACTAATTGCATCATGTTAAAATGCAACGACTTTATTCACACGCACAGAGAAAAATGTTACATAGACTTTTTACTTGTCAGAAGTGTCATCACTGCCTGTTGTCTCAATCAGAACATAAAAGTTATGCGGCGACGTAGGTATTGGATTTCGAGCACCTTCTAGGTGATTTAAAACCTGTCAGAAATCCAATCAAATCAGGATGACTATGGACCAACCAAGGGGAAACGAAAATAAAGTCATAACAAAGTTCTGATAATTTTCTCTGTAGTAAGACCTGGGATTTTATAGCAGATTTATCTAAATCCAAAACAATTAATCTAAACTAGCTGTTATGATTGAAGAAAAATTTTAAATATTACAATGATTAATACTACTTAGCAATTCATGCAAAGTTCATAACGAATTCCATGACAACACAGAGACATGTTTGTACGCCCTTCTTGAAAATCATAGATCAAAGTCAAGACTCAAGTCCCAAAGCATTTTATGCCTATATCTTAGTATTGGCCAGAACTTCCTAATATGTTTTTTCATTGTTGTGTTTTATAAAGTGTGGTTTACGTTTGCCTTCTATTGACTACAAATATTTTGGATGTACGTGACATTATGCAAGTGGCAAAAAGGGAACACATGCATGAATTCCTACGTAATGAGTATGCGAGCTTTAAGTATTTGAGATGTTAAATCCAATAAAAAATAGCAGCAAAAACTAAAACTCGAATCAAAATGCAATTTGATCAATAAGACCCGCTACCAATTTTATTTATAGTCTCTATGTTTCCATATCTACCTAATCAATATAAAATCACCACAAGAGATGCAATTATGAGTTTTGTAAATTGTGTACATTATGTCGTAATTATTATTCTGCTTCTTACTCCTGTCAAACGTCGCACTCTCACCTCACCATTAGTGCTACTCTTTTTTTCTGAATATCACAAATGTAGAATACACAAAAAGACACAAATACATGCACGTTCACAGTAACCTTATCAATATCTAGGACGCAGGAATGCTAAATATCATTTGCACTCTTGTACAGGGTAGCTGGTAACATCAAGCACAAAGTTAACACCAAACATAAAGTCATATCAAGTTTTAGCATATCAGCATGCATCAAGACAACTTTAACGCATTTATAAGTAGCAACCATCCCACAGATTGATTTCATCATGGTATCATTTGATAACTTGACATTACCAAATTCATAGACTGGCCATCCAGAAATTCAAATGCAGATAGAATCTCCCCAAGTTTTCTTTTTGCTTCCTGTAGCAGTTTCTGATAAAAAGTACAGAAACAAAAGCAATCTGATAAGATGGATGCCTGTTTCATTCTGGAAACAAAAGGGAAAAGCACATTGGTGCAATACGTAAGCTTATACAAGAGTTTCACCTAATTGGTAACAGAAAGGTCCTATACAGTTAGTTTAATATCTTGTCATTAGAGACCTAGTTTCACCATGCTTAGTGCTGGTGGTAAGACAATGATAAAATAAATAAAATTAATTTGGAAGACAAGGGCATGTTTAGTCTAAGAAAAGGCTTTCCATTGTCATTTCATTCTTTTCAAACGAACAAAAATGTTATTTTCACCATTTCGACACAAATAGAAAACAGAAAGTAGTGAAAATGGCATTTTTGCAATAATTTGTGAAAATCATGAAATGGAAAGTGAAAACATTTTCTCAAAACAAATAGGCACCAAGAGCCTTCATTAATGAAAAAGGGAAACATATAATGCTTCCCAATCAGTCAGTATAGTATTGTCAATAAATATAATTGGCACTTAATTAAGGTAATCCACAGAAGCAAATGCGGCAACAATGAGAGAAAATGTATTTGAAAATAGGAGTATTGATCATGCCTGACAGCTGCTATAATCTTTGCAAGCAAGAAAAGCAACATTTACTGAAGATAACTTTGGTGGGGTAAGTATTGAAACTTTAGTAACAATTCCCAAGGAACCTTCACTCCCTACAACATCAGTAAGTTAATTTACAATCAGATATTCTACTTGTTTCCAGATTTGACTTGTTGTTCAATACATACCTATAAATAGATGTTTCAAATCATAGCCAGTATTATCTTTGCGCACTGTCTTAAGCATGTCAAGCACAGTACCATTTGCTAGAACAGCTTCAATGCCTGTAGGGCAATCAAAAGCTTGCTTCAGAATTAATAGAGTACTATTGAAAAAAGAAATGGATTGAGATGACCCCAACTTCTGAGCAATTTGGGTGCTTTGATACTTCAACATGAAATCGTTCCACCTTTCAACATGATTCCGTTCTAGACATGATTAAATCAATACAACCATCTAGCATTTATGCCCTGACTTAAGAAGTATTCAGATGATGTAGAAAAGCCAACATGTTTGATTTGTCAATCTTAATGGACTATGACTATTTTCTTACCAAGTATATTTCCATGAAGGGATCCATAACGAACAAGACGCAAACCACCAGCATTAGTTGAAACATTTCCACCAATCTGGCAACTCCCTTTTGCACCTAAGTCTAGTGGCATAACAAATCTGAATGAAAAGTGTAGACAATTTAAATACAAATAGCCTACATTAAAAATTTGAGTTTTATAGCTTGAATGGGTAAAGAAAGGGTAATTGATCATCAAAAATGTTCAAGACATTAGTTGTAACACTGCAGTTGCACCATAGAACTTCAAGAAAAGAACAAACCCAAGAGCAAACCATTTTTCTATTATTAATATAATTGTGTTAAGTAAAGAACCAAAACAGTTATGTTTCACAATTTGTAATATAGAATATGGAAGAAAAGTAGTACCAGTATTAATTCTTCTTCCAGAGTAGCAAGTATAAGATTATCCGAATTTAAAAATAAAAACCCTTAAATTGCAGTTCAATGAAATTGATCCAAATTACATTGACTTTATAAAATTAAAAGGATTACCCTTCATTGTCCAGGAATGACATTATACTTTCCAATATGCACCCAGCTTCACATACCAATACTCCACTAACCTAAAGAAGACAATGGCAGAAACTTCAGAATTAAGTATCAAAACCTGTAATGTTAATATTTGACATTGACTTTAATATTTTGATACAAATGGGTCGCAAGGTAACTAGCAGAATTATATGTTGTTTCCTCGTACGAGGAGAAAACTGCTGCATATGGGAGTTTGTTAATGATTATTCACATAGTTTTGCTTTAAGGCAGAAACAAATTTCAGCTGCAAGCTCCAGTTTGATTACAGGCTAATTCAATCCAAAATCCAAACACATTTATACTTTTACAAAACAAAAGAATGTAGGAAAGGGAGAGCCATTAACCTGTTAATAAATTTATATAACAAAGATAGAACGATTCTATTTATTTTAATGATGCAGATGCTGTGCAGTGCTCAACAAAATTATACTAAGTTCTCCAAACAAGCAACAGAAATTGCATAAGATATACACACGGAGGAAAGAGGTAGTTCACAAGTCATAACGCCTTTCAAGCAGTAGACAGTCTACCTTGTCGAAAGATATGATCTTATTCATAGAACTAAGACTGATAATGACCTGCAACATCAGATTAAAATAAAGCTGTTAAAAATCACATAATAACGTGTTTGTTTTCCAGTATATTCAAGGTTAAACCCTGGTCACGCAAGAGAATGAATTAAATAGTATACTTCATCAAAGACAGGCACACTTCCTCCTACAAGGCCAGTGTTTCCACCTTGGGGAACAACAGCCAAGCATCTGGAGTTACAATATTTAAGAATCTGAGAAACCTGAAAAACGAAACACTCGAAAAACAAAGTCAACTAAACAAAGCCAAACTCCAAATGCTTCACGGGACCAAGTTCCTGAAGGGAAATCGTTCATTCTATTCCATAGAGACAAAAAAAAAAAAAAAAAACTGAATTAAAAAACCTGTTCAGTGGTCCTAGGCTGTAGGAGGAGCTTGCTGGAGCCATTGTATTTATGCATCCAATCAGTGTTTGAAGTGACAAGTTTGTCCTCGTCCTGCACAACATTTTTGTCACCCAATATACCCTCGAAGTATCTAACATCATCATCATTCAACTTTGAGAATCTGGGGTTCCTTTGAACCAACCCCGCCACTGAACCATAACATTTGCGCTGAATTCCAACACCCCATTGTTTGGTTTCCACGAAATATCTAAAAGGGTTGAAAAAGGATAAAACTTGATGATCCCCATGAACGATATCGCGCTGTAAAAGCTTGTGTTTTTCATCAAAAGCCGAAGTAAAACGAGAAGATGAAGTTGCAGAAGGAAGAAGAGATGGGTTGCTTGGGCAGTAGGTGAAGGAGCGTAAGAGGAACCCAATTGTGGCTCTGCTATTGTGCTTGGTCATTGTTAGAGGGTAGTGGCTTGCGATGAACAATGGCACGCTAACCTGAAACTGGAATGAAGGTGATGGTCACGACGACGATGATGATCATAATGGGAATGAAGATTGTGATAATGTCAATATGTATTCACAATCATATGTTAAAATAATAATAATTATTATTAATTAAATATAGAGAATTAAATAAAATACTGATATTTCAAATACACCTACTTAAATTTCTTTACTTGCAAATGGGCCTTTTCAATGATAGTTGCAGATTAGTTCTGTAGTTGATGACAATGAAGAATTGGGATTTGAGAATCCAAGAACAGTCGACGCCAACAACTCATCACAATTCACAACATAGCAGTGAGGTAAAGTGAAAGAAATAGAATGTAGAATTTAAGTAAGTACCAATGGTTGGATCCTAGCAACTCAGATTAAGTTTCAGCAAAATTACCTACTTGCTTCAAAACCCAATTTATTAGAATATATATAACTCAATCGGAATGTACTATTTAATACAAAATCAAATAAACATTTCGTTATAAATTATTAAATATAAAAAGTTATTAATTTTAATTAGTTAACTACTGTCTACAAATTAAGTTCATATATTTTTTTAATTTGAGCTCAATAGTTTGTTTATTTTTTACATAATTTATTATAACTCTAAATTTTTAAAATCTTCTAACATTTTTTTAAGATTAAATTATTGAAATTGTACTGGAATGTAGATAGTTAAGTAACAAAATAAGGTGGAGAGAGTGAAAAGTATAATTACAATCTTAGAAGTTTGATTCACATAATAATCCACTTTCTCCCAAATCAAAAGTAATGACTTAATTATATTCTCCAAATGAAATTCTATTATTTTGAAAAAGATACAAAATCTCCTTATCTGCCAAGTAAGCGCAACACAGAAGCTAGCTTTGAAGAATCTTATCACTTAAGACATGATCTGTCCAGACACAAACACGTTAGGTGTTACAGAAAAATAAAAAGCCAAACATGACCCTCCATTTAAAAAACTGAAATATAAATCATCTGCTTCAAAGCTATTTTTCAAACAAATTATATACATGTAGAATGATAAATACTACTTAAATAATAAATATTAATTTTGTAAATATATAAACTGCGAACTTGATTAGAATATAATATTAATATTGACTCGGCAGAAGAGAAAATGAGTTGTAGGAGAAAGGAGAATAATTGTTTTTAATTAATTCATAGTGGAAATTTTATATGAAAAATTAGATAAAAATTAAATTTATAGATTATTTATAAAATATCAAAATTATTATGACTACATCTAAAGTTTTACATAAAATAATGTTTGATTTTATATCATAAAAATATGAAAGCCTTATATTATTCATTAAATAAAAACATCTGAAACAAAATTAATATTTGATACTGATATAGTAAAAGAGGATAAATAAGTAGAAAAAAAATATTGCATATATATAACTTTTCAAGTAAAGTTTATAAAGAGTAAATTACAGAGTGACATTATATTATCTCTTTCTTATTAACCACAAATATTCATAAATGTGTCATTTTCTAAAATAAATTTACTAAAATATTTTCATTCTCCATAATTGCATTATTTTATTTAGACATATGCATAGTTTAATTTGGAGTAATTAATTTAGTTATAAATCAGAAATAAAAAGTTAATTCTTCATAGAAAAATGCAAAATCAGTGAATCATGAGTAGTTGTAAATTGTAAATTTATTGTTCTATCTTCAAATAATGATTGATTTTGTGAGGGATAATCAAGTGAAAAAAATAATTAATTATAAATATGTAGACAAGATAATGATAAACATATTAAAGTGTATTATAATTAAAAGAGGTAGTACATAAAATTATAGATTGATTTCCTGAATTGCATAGTTGGAAGACGCAGGGTTTGGGTTTGGGTTTGGGGTGATAGGCGAAAAATGCAAATGGAAATGAAAAAGATATTGTGACCGCAAGGACCCTATCCGCCCCATAACAGCGCTGTTACAATCCAGCACCCTAGAGTGAGTGAGAGAGAGAGAGGGACATGGCTTCTTCCCTGTCCTCCGTCATCAACCAACCTCACATTGCTCAACGCTTCAAACTTCACCGTCCATCTTCTTTTGCCACTTTCACAATCTTCCACCACAAACGCAGACACAAGCACCAATACAACGTTTTCTGTCCATACCCATATACCTCATTGCCACGCTCTCAACCTCTCAATCTCATCATCGCTTCCAGAACTTTCTCTCATTCCAACACTTTCCGCCACCACTTCATCCCTCAAGCTACGCTCACTGCTTCCGAAGCTAAACCCCGGTTAGTTTTTGTTGCAATTGCAAACACTCCACCACTTTTTTTTTTTTTTTTTTAAATTATGACCTGATATTTTCTCCGAAAATTTATATTTGCTTGGTGGGTATTTGGGATTCACTTCTGCGTCAATGAATTGAATGAAAAAATAACCTTTTTTTTTTTAATTTTTAATGTTATTACTCATCACTTGTGGAAGAATGACATGAGAATATTCGTGGGGAAGACTCAATTTTTTTTTTTACTGTATCATCATTGCAGAATTGCAAATTTTAGATAGGGTAGATTAGGGTTTAGAGATGAAATCGATATTACTCTTTATTTGTTTATTTATTTATTTTATTTGTGCGATAGCCTTGCATCAGATACTGAAGTTCCTCCCACTCGTCGAATATATCATGAGACTTATGGATGTCAAATGAATGTTAATGATATGGAGATCGTTCTTTCTATAATGGAAAAGGCCGGTTACAGTGAAGCTGTGAGTGTTCCCGAGAGTGCAGAAATAATATTCATCAATACCTGTGCTATTAGAGAAAACGCAGAACAGAAAGTATGGCAGAGGCTTAATTACTTTTGGTTTCTTAAGAGGCATTGGAAGAGCAATATTGCTACTGGAAGAGCACAGTCTCTGTCCCCTCCAAAAGTAGTGGTTTTGGGATGTATGGCTGAGAGGTTAAAGGAGAAGATACTTGATGCAGACAAAATGGTTGATGTTGTATGCGGACCTGATGCTTATAGGGATTTGCCGCGCTTACTGGAAGAGGTTGACTATGGTCAGAAAGGGATAAATACTCTCCTTTCACTTGAGGAAACTTATGCTGATATTAATCCAGTTCGAATCTCCAAAAATTCGGTTACTGCATTTGTCTCAGTGATGAGGGGCTGCAATAATATGTGCTCGTTTTGTATTGTTCCTTTCACTAGAGGCAGAGAGCGATCACGTCCTGTAGAGTCAATTGTGAGAGAGGTAGCTGAGCTTTGGAAAGAGGGTGTTAAGGAAGTAACGCTTCTTGGCCAGAATGTGAACAGCTACAACGATGCATCTGGGAGTGAGAGAGAGGTTGAATCAGGGTCCAATTGGCAACTTAGTGAAGGGTTTTCCAGTATTGCAAAGGTAAAAAAAATGGGCTTAAGGTTTTCTGATCTACTGGATCGTTTGTCATCAGAATTTCCTGAGATGCGATTCAGATTCACATCTCCACACCCTAAGGATTTTCCGGATGAGTTGCTTTATCTAATGCGAGACAGACATAATATATGCAAATTGATACATTTACCTGCACAAACTGGAAGCAGCAAAGTGCTGGATAGAATGAGAAGAGGATATACCAGAGAGGCTTACTTGGAACTTGTGCAAAAGATCCGGAGTATTATTCCTGATGTGGCTTTGAGCAGTGATTTCATTTGTGGTAACATGTTTTTTAAATTTCTTTTCCCTTCCTTTATTATTCATTAATTTGACCTTTTACAATTTGAGAACCTTAATTTCAACAGATGAGTGCTGGAGTTTCCCATTTATAGTTCCTTTCATTTTGTAATCATATTGAATCTGATGATTTTTTGTTGTTAGGGATCTCATTTATGTTCTCAAGCAATTCAACTTCAGAATAGACTATTTACTCATTGTTTTTTAATAAACCAATCTGGTTTACATCTTCTAGAGTTGAAAAATTGGCATTTCTGAAATAATTGAATACTCCTTCAATAATTTATTCTCAACAAGATGAAAGGATTGAATAAAATCTTTATTTGCAAACTTCAATACCAATTTTTTGGTTTGTTATTGAGGTGTATTGTTTTTGTTAAATTTACTCATTGTTTTCATAAACCCATTTGGTGTTCATCTCCAAGAGATGTAACTAATTATTGAACACTTATTCAATAAGTTTTCACAACAAATTAGATGGGACAAATAAAATCTATATTTGATTTCTCATGGTCAAATTATTTATTCGTGTTATTGAGGTGTATTATAGCACCAGTATATGGTATATATATATTTTTTTTGCAAGTGTTGATGGTGTATAGCATGGTTGTCAGGCCTATGATATTGTTAAAAGGATACTGCAAAAAGTTATTAAAAGAAAGTTACGGTTTATACTTCAGAACTTGGTTTTATATTGAGCCTATTGGTGTTCTGGGATCCATATAACAGCCGAAATTAGTAAAATAAGACGGGGATGTTGTTGTTGTCGTTTCATGGTATTTGAATGATGTACTCGTTGATTGTTTGTATATGATTTCAAAACCTAGTTATTATCCTATACATTTTTCTTTACCACTAACATTTTACTGCATAAGAAACTAGCCTCTGATTGTGATCTTCACATTTTGCAATTTAAATAGGATTTTGTGGAGAAACGGAGGAGGAACATTCTGAGACGTTGAGCCTAGTAAATGCTGTTAGTTATGATATGGCATTCATGTTTGCTTATAGCATGAGGGAGAAAACTCATGCCCACAGAAATTATGCTGATGATGTTCCTGAGGAAATTAAGCAGAGGAGGCTGGCTGAACTTATTGAGACTTTCCGCGAGAGCACGGGAAAGTGTTTTGACTCTCAGATTGGAACCACACAGCTTGTATTAGTGGAAGGACCCAATAGAAGAGCACCAGATACTGAGCTTATGGGCAAGAGTGACAAGGGCCATCGGGTGTTGTTTGTTAATATGCCAATCGCAGATAGGGAAGATGTGAATACAAAGCGAAATCCTGTGGTCGGTGATTATGTTGAAGTCCGCATAACAAGATCTACGAGGGCATCACTCTTTGGTGAAGCACTTGCTATAACTAAATTGAGTTCTTTTTACGATAATCTGGATAAAGCTGTTGCATGCAGCATGTAGAACATTGTAGCATAAATAATTTTTCATGGCAATTTTTGGATAAAGAAGTTGTTCATTATTTTTTTTCCCCTTGTTTCTCTGACTACACAACATGACAACACATTATGGGAGAAGACAGACACTACAAGGGAGTGAGATTTTGCATTTACCATCGATACAGCTGGATTACGATTTTGTATTCTTTGTCCATCCTCTCTTATTCGCATTAAAAGGGCTCGAGTCTGCATTAAAATAGCCTTATGGCATTGGCAACCTGCAATGCAGCATCAATATCAATAGCCTTATGGAGGATTGTTGTGATTTTTGTCTTTGAACAATGGGTAACTGTGGTTTAATGAGGCACACGGGAGAACGTGTGGCTTTTTGTCCATCACAGTTATAGTTTAATAGAACATCATGGGCATGGCAGTTTTGTTTATTGCTCGGGTTACCTGTCCCTATGTTATGTTTTTGAGCGGCATAGGGGAAGGTGAATTAAGTGCACGTTTAATTGTGCGTTAGAGTCACATAATTGCATAAACAGTTTGTGGGTGGACGGAATGTATTATGAAATTTATGTTATTTTATTTTATATATATTTATTTAGCTTAGGAAGATAGTTTTTAAGAAGAATTATTCTTAAAATAAATTGATAAGATAATATTTTATGTTCGTGAAATTATGTTTAGATTACTTATATCTATTGATTTAGTGGGTCAATTTATGAATACTTTTTATTCACGGTTTTTTCTATTCGCCACACAGATGGAGTTGGATTGGAATTTTTACTCCAAATTTAAAATGAGTCTAACCCAATTTGATCCTTTGTTTAGCAGTAGGATGGGAGTGGGTTGGATTGTGAAAAATTGATTCATTTGACAACAATTTGAGTGCCATGAAAAGCACCTAACCTTCATCATTTATTATTATTGATAATTTTCTGGTAACATAATTACATTACACACTTATCTTTGGAAGGCGTAGAATGTAGTAATTGCAATATGGTCCGTCCATACATACTGATACAACAAGCTCCAGCAGGGTTCTGCTAGCAGTAGCAGTAGCATTGAAACTGAGAGCAGTAATAAAAGCAAAGTCAAATACAGCAAACTAACTAGCCAGAAAAATCTAATTTCCCCCTTCATTCACATGAAATAAACGGACCACTTGCTTTTTGCTGGCGGAACCATGCATTAACATTTACTCTCAGTGTTTTTCAGAAGATGTTTTGAAAAATCATGTTGTTTGGTCAAAAGTGTTTGAAAGAAGAGAGTGGAAAGACAGTAGTTTTGTTTAATAATTGTTGCATCAGAGAATGGGAGAGTGGTGTTGGTGAAGACTGTACTACCGAGGATGATGCAGACTAGACGAAAGCACCTGCCCTGTAAGTCCACAATGAAAAAAGTGGAAGAAGGAAAAGACGTTAACGACTTCGGCCCCTTTTTTTCACTGCCCCATAAGCCTTTATTTTTCTCAGATGCACACTTGCAGCCTAGTATAGTGTAGTGGTAGTAGAGTCAAAACCCGAGGTCGGGTACTCTTTCTCGTCTGCCTCCATACCTTCCTCACAAATAGTGTTATGTTATGTACTATTTTATAACTTCTTGGTATACTATTTTTCAGTGTATACATTAACAAATACAAAGAAAGATATGGGATACTCAAATCAAATGCTTAATGCATTATTCTTTTCTGGCAGCGCAGCGTCATAGTGTAAATCTGCCAGCAGAACCGACTGATATATACGATTAGACTATTCATTCTTTCAACTCCTGTCTGTTACCACTCTATTTCCAGACCATAATAAACTAGTTACATATGCACGGTATTTGGCGGGTTTGGTTTCAGATTTTGGACTTCATTTTTTATATTTTAGTTGTGGATGTTAAAAGTTAGATAACTGTAGTTCCCACGTTTCAAAAGTGATTCCACGCCTTAATCAAATGCAACTAAGTCCGATTCAAGATTAAGTAAACTACAAAAATGGATATTTTTACTTTAAATTTTGACTTTAGATTTAATTTTATCTTAGATATTATCCTTCTTATTTCAATATTATATGTGTAATCTTTTTTCTTCAAAATGAATATTTTTATAATAAATAATTAAAAAAGTAATTTTTTTTAAATAACTTGTTTAAAAATAAACAATATATATTTTAAAAAAAAAACTTTAGTAAAAGGTTGAGAGGGAGAAGAAGTAAGGAAGCAATGGCATGGGTTGACGGAACATGCTAATAAGATTTATCCACTGAGAAAAATAATGGTGAACATTAGCTTACTAATTATAGAGGGTTCAATAAAAAAACAAACTAAAAATATAATTTATCTGAATTTATTACAATACCCGACTAGTAATCTTAGGAGCAAATCACATTAGATAAGTGAGGGAAAGGACTTTAAACAATGACAAATAGTAATTGAGGGATTAAAAGCTATTCAAGAACTGTTTAAGGTTTAAAGGTTAATTTCAAAAAACATTTAAAAAAACATATTAAACCATTACATAAGTTTTAAAAATTTCTATCTACCTTGCATATTGTCTACTTGGCACAAAATTAAAATACATCACATATTTAATGTTAATAAATTAATATATATATATATATATATTCTGTATAAATACCAAAATATAAAAAAATAAAAAAATTATTACACATTTAGTCTAAAAATAATATTATTTATTATCTAGAATATTCGGTAAAAAATTTATGAATACAATTCTATTATTTATGCATGCATGTTTATATTTTCATTATCTATTTATACATTATTTTATTTTATTTTTTGTATTAATATTGATTTAAGTATAAATGTACGTTCTTTCTTCATCTACAAATAACATCCTCAATACTAGAAGATCGAAAGTGACAACTGTTCATATATTATTGAGGGAACAATGACAAAATTTATTTTCTAAATTTGTACCAAATGTTGATTTTAAGTCACTGTAGATTTATTTTTCTTGCTTCAATTAAAGCATTAAATATTTAAAACATTTTTATATTTTTTTCCACATATGTATATTTTTTGTTAAAAATAATAAACTGGTTGAGAAATAAAATAATATCTTTTAGAAAAAAAAATATTGAAATCGTATTCCAGGACACTAACAAATTATGAGAGAAGTAAGTCATCTTACAGAGTAAAAACAATTATTAAAAATAGTTGATGAGTAAAATTGGTTCAATATTATTTTAAAATAAATTAATTAAAAATATAAGAATACAATTGATAAAAAATATTAATAAAAAAAAGACTAACAAATTATTGAAAACAATAAAAATTAATATTTATCTTGATTTATATAATAAATCTTAAATGACTTATTTAGAGTGAGTACTAATGATTATAATAAATAATTATGTTTTGTATAATTAAAAGATTTTTATATGTTATTAATTATTAAATAAAATTTTTAATTATTATCCCAAGAGAAATTATTAATTTTATGCTACGTCAACTATTAAATGATGTATACGTTTATGTGGGGGTTTAAGTGATATTCATCATTATTTATAGACATTCTAGCAAAATTTCCGCAAATCAGACAACTATAAGGTACATCTGAATAATCATTAATGAAGTCAATTTTTTTACCATTAAAATCACACACATTAATATATACATTACTTAATAATTTATATAACATAAAATTAATTATTTTTTATAATGATAATTAAAAATTTAACTAAGTAACTGATATGATGAAAAGATAAAATATTTTAATATATTAAATATAAATATTTATAGTAGTTATTATATAAAAAATATATTTTATCTTAATTTATATATATAAAAAAATTACTCAAATATTAAACTTGAAAAATAAAAACAAAATTATATCTACATTAAAAAAACAATAAAAAAATAATTATTTAAAAACAAAAATAAAAAATATAATAATTAAATAATATTAAAAAATAAAATAAAACTAATATTAAACTATTTGTTGCGTTGAGAAATTAATTAGAAAATTCAAGTGAACAACTAAGCTTCTGATTGTTTATATGGTTATATTGGAGACCATAAGTAACTTTCTTTATATAATGAATTAATATGTAGAACACATATTAATAAAAAAAATCAATTACAAAATTTTAAAAGGTTAATTACATTATAATCTATGATTGTAATTAATATATATATATATATATATATATAATTTTTAAAATTTAGATTAAAATATTAGATAATGAATTAAAATTATAAATAAGTAGTGATTCAAATCTTAATATTTTCTATTATAAGAAGACAATTTTTTGTTTACAGTACAATCAATAAGTTATTTTGATAATTGTGATTTTTTTAGAACTTTAACCTATTTTAAAATATTTTTTTAATAAATTTAAAACACTGGATTTTAATATTTCGGTCTTTTAGAATATCATAATTTAAAATATTATAAATTTGGTCTATTTTTTATTCATATATTTTAATAAATTAAATCATTTTTATTGTATTTAAAATAAAATATTGTTTAGGATTCTCACAAAAAAATTTTAAAGTAAAAATTAAACATAAACTTAAAAGATAAATTTTATTTTTACAAGATTTATACCAAACAATTTTTCAATGAACATAATAATCGTTCAAAAACCTGGTCATAGAATTTCAAAAGTAAAAATTAAAATATAATAAAAATAAGATAGGAAGATATATTTTTAGTTTAGTTTAACTTATTTTTCAAGCGTTCGAATCAATTAAGCGGTACAGATAAAATTTTAAACGTTAATGATGAACCATGGTTAAAAATATAGGATTAATTAAAAAAAATTGTAAAAAAAAAACTATAATAACTTATTTTTTTAAAAACGTACCAACATTAGCTGTATCTTTAATGACCATTTTTCTTATTTTAAGGAAGCATTAAATATTACATCAAAATCTCTATAATTTTGCAGATACCAACACTTGCATTCATGTATATATTTAATAAATTATTAAATAAATGGTTTTAATGATGGAAAATAAATTATTGTTTTCTTAAAAAATAATTACTGAGCAGCGTTGGGAACAGAAAAGGATGGGAGAGAAAATGTAAGGTAGTAATGGGCGGATAACATGTTTCTCAATTTGGTAAACCCAATATTACTTTTTAATTATATTTCTTTTTTTCTCCCACCATATTTTATAAAGAATAAAAAAGATGATCATCATTTTTATCTCATCAGTTTGTATTTTGTTCCTTTTTCTTCAAATATATGATACACTTTTTTTTTTAATCAATGTTTTATGTTTATATAAGAATTGTTACAATAAATGATTGTTTTGGAGTCCTAGATTTTCACTCTCTCTCTCTCTCTCATTTCTTCTCTTGATATATCTCTCCACACTCAGCTCTCAAAGGGAAGGACAAAAAGAAGTTTCTCCTTGACTAAAACATTTTACCATTCTTTCTCTCTCTCTCTCTGTACTCTTCTCTCCCCCTCTTTCACCAAGTACAAAGCTGCATGAACTGAAAACCAACAAGAAGTCATCACTGATCACCAAGTTGGTTAAGAATTTTTTTGAGAGATGGAATGGATCATAGGGGTGTGCGTTGCGATGGGCATGTTCTTGATGAGTTGGTGGATTCTGCTAAACGGAAAGAATAATGAGAATACTGTGGCAAAAGGCAAAGTCCCAAAAGGGAACTCTGGTTGGCCTTTACTTGGAGAGACCCTTGATTTCATTGCTTCTGGCTACGCCTCAACCCCTGTCACCTTCTTGGAAAAACGCAAGTCTTTGTAAGCTTCTATCCCCACCACACATGGATGAGTTTTCTTGGTGCTAAATTCTTTTTGCCTTTTCCTTTCTCATCTTTTCCTTCTCCACGATACCAATGACATGCATGCCTATCTAATATGCTTTCAAAATTCCATTGTTTTTTTTTTTTTTTTTTTCTTCTGTGTCCACGAAGACGGCTACAACATTACATCAGCATTGCACACAGACGAATTTCCTAACTCATCTGTCAAATTTTGAAAGTGAATGCTTTTTGGAACGATATATATCATATATATGAAGTAACGAAAAAAACAATCGAATCAAAGCTACTAAAAGATTCTGCTATACAGCGGAGCCATATCTTGTCCCTCTCTGGTAGTCTATCCCTTGTGAAGGCCCAATTTTTTAAGATGTGTGAAGTCCTTTACGATGTTCGAATGTGTTGGTGACAATTGTGTCCCAGTGGTCCACATGTTAGTTAAGGACTATTAGTTCAACTGATCGTGATCGAGTATTGTTTGCCTTGATTAATATTTTGAATTTGAGTTGCTTATTATTATTTTTTTTCACCATCTTGTTTTAAGCACTGTTGTAAAAGCTATGAGTTTGGGTTGGGGAGATGCTTTTCTCATTCTTTAAAAAAAAATCTCCCTAAATTAGCCTTCTTGAGGAGGCAAATGATCTTTCTCTATTTTAAAAAATTATAACAACTTCTGTAACATTAAAAATAAATAATCTTATATTAAATAATGGCAATAATTAATAAAATAAAAACGAGAAGATAAATGTTAAGGGATATATTTAAAATTTTAAAATAGCATACAAATATTTATAAAATTATATAAAAAGGTTTTTTTTTAAGGCTTTTGACAGTTTTTTTTTTTTGAAGTTATCTTTTTAGAAAAATTGGTTACCAAAATTCCGTTTATATTGGAATAGAGAAATTTTAAGCAACTTGTATCTACTTTTAAAATTTATTTTTACTTTGCAGTTTTTAGTTTTGAAATGTTAACTTCTGAGTTTGTCACCATCTTATCTTAAAATCAACAAATTATTGAAGAGGGGATGGAAAAGAGTGTATTGTGTCCATTACTTTCTTTGGAAAGGATCATGAAAGAAGGAATGAAACAGGGTTTGGCTCTTTTATAAATTTAGAAAATGTGTAAGTAAATAAAATACTCCATAGTACCTTCAGTGCAGATGTATATCTTCTCCCCGAGTATTATGTTAAAAATTTGACACATTTTTTAATAATTTTGTGTGACAGATAAACACTTATTTTTTAATAAATTCAACTTGCTTGAAATCAGTGTTGGAAGGTGACTTTTAGAAGAATGAAATTGAAAATACAGCTCCTATTTATAATAACTTCTAAAATTCAATTGGATTAGTGTTATCAATGCACCCCCGTGATCTAATAATAAATGTCTATCCCCATTGTGGTCCTGGAGCTGCTTGCTGGGCACAGGGCCTCATTCTTTTGAGAGAAGACACACATTTTGGAAGAAGAAAGTGCAGAAAAAGCCTGCGTCTGCAGTAACTCCATCTAGCTATAATAGATTTTGTCTTGAACTGTGTGGAAGGGAATGTGATATTGTGAACCCTGCGAGCCGCTGCATCTATGAGAGCAGCAACTATACATATATATTTTAACCTTCCCTTAAATGCTGCAATAAAAACCAGAAAAAGTAACAAGGTGTTCATATTACTTGTTATCTATTGTGGGTATAGGTACGGGGATGTGTTTAAGACATGCATTTTGGGAAGCAATGTGATAATATCGACTGATCCGGACGTGAACAAGGTGGTTCTGCAGAACCACCAAGCCAACTTCGTCCCTGCTTATCCAAAATCAATTAGAGAATTGATGGGAGAACAATCCATACTCAAAATGAATGGGACCATGCATAAGAAGGTGCACACACTCATCGCAGGGTTCCTCCGATCCCCACAACTCAAAGCTCGAATCACCAGAGACATTGAACACACTGTCAAACAATGCTTAGCTTCTTGGACTCCCCACCAACCAATATACATTCAAGATCAAGTCAAAAGGGTTTCTTTCTTTTTCATTATTTTCTCTAGCACTTCTTTCCTTTTCCCCTTAATCTACTCTTTGCATAACTCCTTAGCTTCTATTTCTATTGAACTTTTTCTTGTGTGCTATATCAGATTACATTTCCCGTTTTGGTCAAAGTTCTGATGAGCGTTGGTCCCGGTGAAAGATTGGATTTCTTGTGTACAGAGTTTGCAGAATTCATCAAAGGGTTGATTTGCTTACCCCTCAAATTTCCAGGAACAAGACTGTATAAATCCTTGAAGGTCACTTAAACTATATTATTGTTGTTATATAGTTCTATGTTTATAGAATAAATGATATATATGTGCATGACGACTCAAAGTTTTTTATACTATTGCTTGGTTATAATATAAACTATCAGAATGTTGTAATATTTATCTGAAAAGTCATTAAAAAAGTGATGTTTTTGGTTAATTGTTTAAGTCGTTTAATATTGTCAGAACATGATAAATTATTTTTCGATATTATATATAAACCTAGTGAGTAATTAAGTTAAAGAAAATATGTCTTCTTAAATAATTTTGTAACCAATATAATAAAGTTTTACTTCTGTTGTGTACTTATAAGTTAGTGAACTTTGCAGTCCAAAGATAGGATGGTGAAGATGGTGAGAAAGATAGTAGAGGAGAGGAAGAAGCTAAAGAAAGAGAATAATGCAGATGATGAAGGTGATGCAGTGAATGATGTATTGGATGCACTATTACGGGATAAGGGTGACTCCAACCCAAGCCCACGGTTGAGTCCAGAAATGATTAGCCAAAACATCATAGAGATGATGATACCCGGGGAGGAGACACTTCCTACAGCTATGACCATGGCCATCAAGTTCCTCAGTGACTCCCCTCCCGCTCTATCCAAACTTCAGGTACTTTCAAAACAATTACCAATTTATATTTTACGACAAATAAATATGGTACGTAAACAAAATTTATACTATGATGCTGTAATAAGAGAAAACTATGATACTATGATGAAGAATGATACATGTATAGGAAAATATAAAATTTATAACAATTATAAAGCGATAAATAATAAAGTTAGAAAGACAAAAAGAAAAAGATGTTAAGTATTTAAAAAGACAGATATAAGTAATAGAATGAAACAGTTTTATTTTACTTCTGGAACGGAAACGGTTGGAAGTTGAAATTGAAGGTTGGGTTTAGGCCCCAAGGAGGGGTGGTCCTGTGTGGTGTGGACCATCGTTATGCCCTAGAGTAGTGTCTGACTTGTCTATGAAGTCGCTTTCGAAAAAGCACTGAAAAAGCGCACACGAGGGAGTGTGGGCCTCACGTAGTGCGTTAGAGTGCTTCCTTGCCGTACGATGTGTTGTTGTCGATATGATTTTAACTAAACTGCTGGAAAAAATAGCTCCACTAAATTAAATTGCTGCCGCTACAGAACCCAGCTACTGTCTGTCCCATTAACGCACAGCTGCTGCATTTTAAAAAAATAAAAAACTTATTTTTCTATTAAACTATGGATTTATTTTTTTATAAATGATACTTTAAGTAGACCTCTTCCTAATTTATTTGTTTATGGGTAAATTCATTTTTTGAGAGACCCAATTTGCTTCTTCAAAAATAAATTATGAGGAGTTCGAATTTGATTTTTGAGAAATTAAACTGCAGCCCTTTTTATTTTCATTTTTTTAAAAACTAAATAATTACATTTTATTAAATGATTTTTTAAATAAAATACTATTAAAAAGTTATATTATTTCAATATAATTTTTAAAAATTTAAAATATAAATATCATTAATTGTAGTATAGTAATTTTAAAATTTAGATGACTTAAATAATTAATTAATATTAATATAAGTATTATTTAATGGCATAAAAGATAATATTATTAATTAATTATTAAAAATATTATTATTAATAATAATTAATCATAACTAATTGTGAATATTAATGATATTTACATAAATTTATGATTATAATGTTATACTACAAAGAGTTAATGAAAATATGTTTTCGAATATTAAAATAAGATGTAAGTATAGTAATTATAACGAGTTAGTTAAAAAAAGAAAAATATAATTCAATATATATATATATATATATATATATATATATTAAATTTTACGTATGTGTATAAAGTATTTAATTTATGTTAATATTAAATTTAGTAACAATAGTATTTACTAAAGTATTATTAAAATTTAGGTTAATATTCTCATTTAAAATGTAATTTTTTTGTTTATTTTAATATATAATTTTAAAATTTAAATATTTGTATAAAGGAAATTAAAATTTTAAATAATAATAATAATAATAATTAATTATTGCATGAGAGATATAAATAACAAAATTATAAAATTCTTAAGAATATGATACATAAAATTTTATTATAGAACCCTAATTAATTATGTGAAATTGGCTGGATATGTTTTTTTTTTTTATCAGGATTGTGATAGTAAGAGCAATTTTTTTTTGGATGATATTGTCCATTTTTTCTTATGTCTTGATTTGAAGTTCACTTTATTTTTTTTTTTAGACAACAAAGTTAGTCTCATGTAAGCTATTTAATAGTATTCATGTCTTAAGGTCTTGAACCATCCATTATAGATTCTATCTAGTTCTTATAAGGTGTAGACATTATTAGCTGGGCAAAATTGTGATATTCTTGTTACATGCAAGAAGTACATGTGAGCGATGAAGTTTTAAAAACTTCTTGGTATCATAATTCATTTATTATGATTCTCGTTATCCTATTGGTCTTTGCTGGATTTACTTTTTTATTCATGTCAAAATAAAATATTTCATGAGTGTTTATCTTTTATTGTCTCTCATCTATGATATTATTATGACGTTAAAGTAGATATGATCAATCATCCCTGATATTAATTGTGACGTTAAAGTAGATATGATCATAAATGAATTCTTTTTGGAAATTTAGGAGTCATCACTTCATATATGTTTATGATTTTGATTTTTCTAATTTAATAATCATTAAATATATTTAGTTATATATTTATCATCTTTCATTTTTATTTACTTTTTTTATATCTATTTATTATTTATTAATAATATATTATTTAAATTTTCAAAATTATCCCTCTTGTATGATTTAGGAGATTTGTATCACATGTCATTAACATAATTTATTGTTTGGTGTAAATATCCAAGTCTCCCTAAATATCTTTACTTATTATTTTTATTTTTTATTATATTGTAACAGTAAAAGAATTTAGGTTTAACCATTCCATAAATTGAGAAAAGTAAATAAAATTAATGAGTCAAGAAAAAGAAAAAAGAAAAACTCATTTATAACATAATTTTTCATTATTCATTAGTGGATTGTTAAAGTCACTTACCAAATTTTTTATGATGTCTTAAATCTTAGTAAAATGTGAATGTCTAAACACACTTAAGAAGGGGAGGTAAATTTAATTTTCAAATATAATTAATTATTTAAAATCTTTTTTTATAATCAAATTTAAAAAGAATTAGAACAATGTTAAGATCACAAAAATACTAAGATAAAGAAAAGAAAGAAAACAAGTACACGAGTTTATATTGGTTCCACTCGTTTGAATTTGCATTCAGTTTGATCAAACAACCTTAACTTTGATTTTTCATTAAAACTTGTTTAGTAACCTTATTACAACATAATCTACAAATTTTGACTATAATACTCTTTAATGAAGATCTAAAAATAAATCACAACACCTAAAAATGTTTATCCATAAAATTTTCAAGCCAATTTGATGTAGTTCACCTCACATACATCAAAATACAATAAAGATCACAAAAAGAGAGATAAGAACAATTTCTCCTTAGACTTTTGGAGTACTGCATCCTATAGCCATATAATTTCTTCTTTGAGTTTGATTTTCTTCAAAACGTTTTATAGAATTACAAACGTTCATTTCTAAAATATGTGTTTAATTATGGAAAGTTTACATAATTTATTGAGTTTTAAATATGTTACAATTGATTCAAATAATCTATTAATAGAACATTTAATCTATTATTTGTGTGTAACAACTGAAAATAAGTCATATAATCAATTATGTACCAACATAATCAATTATTAGTCTGTTATGTCAAAACAGATATGTAGTTACATAATCGATTAAGTGACAACATAATTGATTATTAGTCCATGGTATAAAACATGAATTTAAGTCATATTATTAATTAAGTATTTATCTAATCAATTAATACAAATTTAATTTTAACTTTTTACATTTCTTCTTTTAATAAATATTAGATAACTTGACTTTAAAAAAAATACTAACACAACTACCTAATTAAATCTTACAAAACATCATCAAAAAAATGATTTTTCAATCATTTTTCCTTATTCATTAACATTGAATACATTATACATGCACAAAATTATTTTCTATTTTCCACTTTTTTTTCTTGAGTAAACACTCCTTATAGATTAGTGACAATTAAAAATCATGAATATACTATTTGAATATCAACTAACTACTTGCCTTCGTACGAGTTGCTCTTTCAACTTCTAAATGAATTGTCGTACGCTGAATTTAAGATCGATGGCGATTTTAATACTACTACTTCTAATTGTCATACAATTTCTTGATAGCTAACTACTTTACTAGTCACTTTTTGGATATGTGACAATATATCCTATATTACCTTGATAGGCATTATTATGATAAATATATATATGCATTGATGAATGTGCTTTCACAATCATCTTCATCTGCAATTTAAGTAAGGATGACATCTTTGTTTTCACTCAAAGTGACAAATCTTTTTATTAAAAGACCAACAAGTGCATGTTCTTGTAGATATTGTTCTTAGATTGGGTGAGATTTATCTCCATCAAGATTAGTGAAATACATCCTGAGAAGTTTAGTTTAGTTTTGAATATGATCTTTCCAACATCTATAATTTGAAAATTCATGTTTTGAGTAATATGATGATTTTGGTTTAGGGTGATATGATGGTTTTAGTTTAAGGTGATACGATGGTTAATGTTGGTAAGACAGGGAGAATAAATATAATTGTAGTTGACGTTGAGACAATAAAAATGTAAAAGAATTAAATATATGTATTATTGCATCTACCCTAACCAAGGATGATTGGGTAGCAAGAATGTATGTTAATCATCCTTTCATATCTTCTCTATCCAATTTTTTGAGTGATGGTTTCTTTTAAACTCTCTTATAGATTTTTCATAAATACAAATCTCATAATTTTGAAAAAAAAAAATAGGTATATGAAAATTTGATAAGTTAGGAACTATTAGTTATTATTATCTGTTTTAAAATTTTGTTTTCTTTCGTATAAATATCTTTAAATTAAATTTAAAATAAATAATAATATATATTTAATGAAAATATTAACATAATTTTTAATAATATTTTCAAAAAAAAATTATTGAAGTTAGTATTGACATTAATTAAATTTTATATATATATATATATATATATATATATATATATATATATATATATATTGTAGGTGAACTTTGAATATATGTATCAGTTATATGTTTTTTAAACTTATTTTATTAACATAAATCTTTTAGTTATAATTAAAATTTACACATTTTTTTTAGTATTTGAAATATTTTTTTATTAACTTTAGTACTAAACTATTATAATCATAAATTAATAAAAATATTATTATGACATTTTATTTGAGAACAATTTATATGAATTATTTTTTATTTTAAAAAAATATAAAATATAAATTTGTTGTGTTCTATTATTTTTAAGCAACACATCTTTCATCTTATTCTAATAAGTTTTCTTAATAAATTTTTAAAAAACTTATTCTCTCCTTAACTATAAAAAAAATTAAGCAATTTAGCATGTCTGATGCATAGTTGTTTGAAATTACATATGTGAACTTGTTTAGAGCATCTTGAAAAAGAATTTTTAATTAGAATTATTTAAAAATAAAATTAAATATTTTATTATGAGTCCAAAATTTAGTTAAAGTTGTTTAAAACTTGGTTAGAATGGTTTATACAAGTAATTTTTTTCTAATTTAAAGTAACTTACTTTTAAACAACTTAAATATGAGACTCATAAAAAAATATTCATGATTATTCTTAACTATTTCTTGTTAACAACTCCTTTATAAATTTGAATATGCTATCACAAGAATTACTTATGAATAAAAATAGTTAAAATAGTATTTTCACATAATTAATTGTTAAAGTATTTCCATATTTCACATGACATAACAGTAACAAGTCTTTGATGTTCTGCACCGCAATGGAATCTAAGTTAGTATATTGACTCAAGTATTTTGCTAATGCTCAGAAGATAGTTTTATATTTAGTTAAGCTGTTTTGTTTTATTTTTTATTTTTTTTCAGGAGGAGAACATGGAACTGAAGAGGTTGAAGGCTAATTGCACAGAAGATTACGCATGGACCGATTACATGTCACTGCCATTTACTCAAAATGTGAGAATCTCATGTTTTCCTCTACCACATGCAAAATCAGTTGCTAATAATACATAATATCTTTCATAGTATATGACATTGTTGTTCATTGTTTTGTCTTTCACTTCCTTTCTAAAAGGTTATCAGTGAAACTCTTAGAATGGCCAATATTGTCAATGGCATTTGGAGGAAATCTGTCAATGACATAGAAATTAAAGGTGAGTTCTTTACAAGAGGAAATAGTATTGGCCTCCTATGATGCATATAGAGAAATAAAATACTAATTAATGCATTTCACTATTCTACGCATATCCAGGGTACCTAATTCCGAAGCACTGGTGTGTCATGGCATCTCTTACCTCTGTTCACATGGATGACAAGAACTATGAAGACCCTTTTAAATTCGACCCATGGAGATGGGAGGCAAACTTCTAAAGCTATATTTCATCATGTTTCTGTAAATGTTCAATTGATAATTACAACAGCAATTTTAATGCTCAATATGGTTGCAGAAAATTGGAGTTGTGGCGGGTAACAACTGCTTCACACCATTTGGCGGTGGAAATAGACTATGCCCTGGATTAGAACTCTCCAGGCTAGAGCTCTCTATTTTCCTTCACCATATTGTTACTACTTACAGGTCAGACAAACATTACACGTGTCATTGTTTGATTTATTATTTTTTGAAGATGTTCACTCAATGATTTTTGTGTAACTGGTTTTAATTACCATGCAGATGGGTGGCTGAGAGGGATGAAATAATCTACTTTCCAACTGTCAAAATGAAGAAGAAGCTCCCAATTAGCGTGCAACCCATTAACGCTTGACTGGATTGGGTTACATCATCAAGAAACTGGGGAGATATGTGTTTGTGTTGCTTATGTCATCACATAGGGTAAATGATTGAAATAAAGGGGTCGTAGAATGAAATAAAAGATACTTCAAATAATATTTATCTTTGTAGTTGATGGACTAGAATAAGATATAATATGATGATAAGGTTTAGGAGGAATCATTCTTACACCTCTCTTTCTTAAATGAGACTCACATGCATAAGCGTTCACAAGTTTTCTTGTTCAACTCTATCCCACAATTATAGATATGATGAACAGAAGAGAACAAGAGGGTGGTGGGCTTGAAGAAAATGGGATAATGTATTATTGTGTTAGCTGTTAGCTGGTGTCACATCTGCTTGAGAGGAGAAAGGTACATTTGGGCCCTGTATCCATCTTGGAAAATAGAATGCAAGTGGGGGTGATTTAATTTATCTGTGTTTGATTCCAATGCAAGGTTGATGGTGGGTTTGTTCTGCATGTGGGTTTTGAGGTACATTTGGTCCCATGCCATCACACCACCTCGTGCTCCACTACCCTCTGTTACTATATCTCATCAATTAGTGGAGTCCTAGGACAAATCTAGTACCAGCACCATCATTCTGCAATCACCACCCATCGGTTTCAAAACTCCTCACACTATACTACTACGGTCTTGTTAACTGGTATTATTGCAGATCACACTATCAACACTACGGTCTTGTTAACTAGTATCATTGCAGAAATTATTCGGTTTAGACTTTACATTTTATCACATCACACACTTACATAGAAACATGCATGGTAAACATTACAAATATGCCAACCCTACAGAGTACGTATGAGATAAGGCATGCCAAATGAAGTTAGTACGCAGTCTGAAACGCAAGTGTGGAAGTGGGGTTGAAGAAGTTGCAGAAACCCACCAGACATTTTATTAATTAACGTGTGAAACAGTGATTTTGGATTGAAAATGGAAGTGGCATCCCACTTGGCCTTCCACCTCATTCGTATGATTTTGGCACAATCTCTTTTTTATGAATAAACTTTGCTTTGCTTGCCATCATTATTCATGAACACTACTTGATGAGACCAATTGATGTAACAAATTTTAGAGACTTAGAGTCAAATTTACAAGAAATAAAAGATTAATTTCTAAAATATGACACTGTAAAACTTTCATGTTTATTAATATCAAGAGTACTAATTAATTCCTGAAAACCATTTTTAATTGTCTAATTTCATCTTTGCTTTCAAAAACCATGATTCATTCGTCTGTTGTATTTTAAGGATTACTTTTTATTTGATTCATCTTTGTCATTGCTGTATAAAGAGAGGACTTCCTCTAATATCATCTTTATGATATTGAATTGTTTTCATAATTAAATAATTGCTCATTTAAATTAACAAAATTCTTGTCTTAATTGTTTTCATAATTATTTTTTCCTCAAATAATCCTGTAAAGTAAATATAAAAGTCAAATGTAGTTAATTTGATTCAATTCTAATTTAATATAAATTTAAATTAATTTAATATTCACTATTTGGTTTTGTTGTTTTTATTATAAATTGTTATATATCTTATAATGATTTTTTTAATAAAAATATATATTATATAAATTTTTGTCATATAATTATTATTATTATATTCATAATTTTAATTTTTTATATTTATAAATAAATTATAAAATCTTATAATTAAAAATTATAATCTAATTTATTATAATGTATTTAATAATGATAAATATATTATAAATAAAATATAATTAAGTTATAAAATAATCTTAAAAAATATAATTTTATGTGTTTATTATTTGATAATTAATTCTAAATATATAATATTATATTTAAATATAGTAAGTAATTTGAGTCCGTTTGTTAATTTCAAATTCGAAATCCAATTCAAACAGGTGATTTTAAAACAATAATCCAAATTAAAAATATATATATATATATATATATATATATATATATATATTATTTATTTTTTTATCCATTTTTATTTTTGTAGGAACAACAATACAGAAACCTTTTTTACCACGCATGACTTTCACACGTCTTAACAATTGTGTGAAATTAAATATGCATAACTTAGAAGTTTTTTAAGTGATTAGCTACCAAAAAGAATAAACTTATTGTTAGTTTATCACTTTTTTTTACAACAAAATAATACAAGATGTCACGTTACCTCACTTGATTTTTAATTATTTTTACATGATTATCACAAAATTGAAAAAGTGAGAAATTAAAAATAATAAATTATATAAAGATAATAAAAAATGTACATAATATTTATTACAAACAAGCAAGTCATTTACTTTTCAATTTCATAGTTTTAATAAAATATTGTTTAATGTCCCTTGAATAATGATTAAACCCTAAACTCAATCAATAAAAAATTCATTGCTACATATATTTACTTGTCACATTTGCACATTTTGGTTTTAAATTTGAAAGGATTTCTTGACTTTATATACAATCACTTTTATTTATATATTTTAATTACACATGTTAACATTGATTTAGGGGTTAAGATTCATAATCTATGGTTATTCATGGATTAGCTTTATTGTTCTTATCCTTCTAAAAGACTAAAGAAACATTAATTAATTACTTGTTATAATTATAACTTTATTCCTGCCTATTTTTTTACATACAATGTCTATAAAAAAACTCCAGTATTAAAATAAGTGTTATTTTAAAATGGTGTATAAAGATTTTACTGTGAGATTGTTATTGTAATTGTTTTTAATAAACCACTCCTTACATTTAGAACAGAAAGTATTAAACTTTATAATTAATAATAAGACATTATACTTAGAAGCAAGTATGGGAAAAGAGAATGATAGAGAATTCTATATTTAAAAAAAAAAAAAAAAAAAAAAAACTAGTTAAACTAAACGAAACTATATTCAGAGGTGAAGGAATCTTCATCTCTTTAGCTTTTGCCATGTGAAAGACTCCAGTTAATGCATGTCTCAAAAAATTAGGTTAAACTTCCAGGGTTTCATAATTTTCTGTATTCATTGCACCTTCATTCTGGAATGTATTTTTTACATTTGAGAAAATTTATTATAAAATAAATAGAATGTGCTAAAGAAATTTGATGATGCAGAACATTTCATATCACTTACCAAACAGGTGAACAGCTCTACGTTAATATCCCTACTCCCTTGGCAGGGACAAATTTAAGGCCTCCTCTGAGGGTGCAGTTCAAGCTTCCAGCATATACTTATTTTATTTTCCTATTAATATTTTGTTTGAATAAAATATATTTCAAAGTTTCGTGTAAGATATATTTTAAAAATTTGATATCATATAAATTATTATTCTTTATCTCGACTAATCTAAAATTAAGAGATAGAACAAAATTTGAAACTTTAATATCAATTTTTATAGTAGTTTAAGAAAGAGATTTACGTAGATTATTGTTATCTTTTCATCTCCCATGTTCTTTTTTATATTTTATAAAAAGGAGAAAATCATGCATTCTCAAAATTTTATATATTGTTTTTAAAATTTATTTTGATATACTTCTTCCATTCTTATTTATAATACTCAATTACCTTATGCATCCAAATTAAAGAAGTTGGTTAATCTAGTTTAACTTGTTTGCTAAAATAACTTTAATAAATACATTTAAAAATAAAATGAAAAGTCATTTTTGAACTTATTATTTGAATATCTGAATAAAAAAAAGGAAGATTGAAAATTTTGATATAAATATATTATTGATGATTTTTATGATATAAGAAAAAAATAAAACTAAACTAAAATTGATATTAAGACCATTTTAGTTACATTTAGTGAATTTAGTGAATATTTATCTAGTTGAGGAGAATATTGAGAGAACTAAAAAAAGTTATCATCTACAAAATATTAGCTACGAAAAAAATCCGTAGATAAAATGTACATTATATACAAATATTATTTACGAAATTTTATTCATATGTTAATTATCTATTACCTATGAAATTACTCGTTTGTAGGTAATGTCATCCGTGAGTAATTATCTATTACCTATAGAATTACTCGTCCGTAGGTAATATCATTCATGAATATTATCCATTTTTTACGAAATTTACGTACTGTAGGTAATGTTGTCCTCCATTACCTACGTAATTACTATCCGTGGGTAATACCATTCGTAGGTAATTATCTATTATCTATAGAATTAATGTCCGTAGGTAAATTACATACGGATTACAATCCATAGGTAAATTATATCAAATTAAGATAATTATATATAATATATAAATATATAAATATAAATATATTTGTATTTATATATTTTATATTTATATGGATAAATATAAATATAATTTATTTATAAGTTATTATTAAAATATCTTAATAATTTAGTGGTTGAAATATCAGTTTTCAACTCTAAGGTATTAGGTTCGATTTTTGTCAATGATAATTTTCTTAATCTAATCATAGTTTAAACTTACCAATTTGTATCCCAACCAGAAAAACAGCTGATCTATCTAAATTAGTTAACTATTACATAACGTGATACTTAACTAATTTCTGTAGGTGATCAATTATAGACAATGAATATCTTGAGCATTCGAACATTTTGAACAGAAATGGTTTAATATCAATAAGTAATATGTAAAGTATGATTAAACTAATTTAGCCAACCAGATTTATAAACTTCAATGTCAACATTGTGGAGCTTACATGTGGTATCAAGAAAAAATTAAGAAAAATGCAGAGACATCAAACCCAAAGTTTTACTTTTTGTTGCGGTGCCGGAAAAATTCAACTTCCTCTTCTGAAAATCTACCAGATTTGCTTGCTTCAACATCTCTTATTTGATCAAGACTCCAGTCAAAGAAAAAATTATCAAAAACATATTCAGTCTTACGATTTGATGTTTGCTTTCACTTCCATGGAACATACCGTTGCATATCATTCAATAATGGTAGAGATGGTCGCATATGGTCAATCACCCAAATTTGTCCAACTTTTTATGTTACTAAAAATGAAATAGAGAATAGACTCAAGGTTTGAGGAAAGTTAAATTTTATTTTACATACACCTAAATGATATTCCTATAATTTTTAAAATAGTCCAAGTCCAAATATTTCATATCAATAATTTTCTTTGCTGATAAACAATTTGTCTTGGTAAGTTGTTGTAGTCATGGAGACCATCATGATCACAAGACTATAAGCAGTTAGAAAAAAAAAAAAGTTTGATCAATAGAATGTCTTTATTTAGTCTTTAGAATGGAAAGAGAAAGATTTTTTTTACACGCATCAAAGATCTAAAATTAAAGTTAATTTCAAATAGAGCCACAAATGGAGGATATACAATTTTAGAACAACATAGTGAAATCAGCGAAAACCATCAATGAAAAAAATCTTTGAAAAAAAATCCATCGATGACATCTTAACCGTGCAATAGTGTTGACGAGTCTTGAAAAGAGACCTAAATCAGTAACAGTAGATGGTTAAGAGACAAAAAGAAGACATGTTATAGATTTGTAAAAGAATAAAGAAAAATAAAAGAAAGAAGGGGAGGACGACAGAGAAGTGATGATAAACAGTAGAACAAAGAATAAGAGTAGGAGCGCAAAGAGTGAGGGGCAGAGAAGATTGAATTTAGAAGAGAAAAAAAAAAGTAGACTTTTAAGATGATGATTTGACATTGTTTTGCATATGCTAGTTTCCTTCGTTGACTCTAGAGAGAGACGTGCTACGCCAAGGAGTGTTTAGGGTGTAATTTCGTTAATTGAAATAATGATATGTCTAGATATGTTGTAAATCCTGTATTGAATACGTTCATGCGATTACTAGATCAAACAAAGAATGCATTTTAGATTTACAAGCTAAGATTTCGACAGTGGAGTCCCGGTTGCTGCAGACAAATCCATTTTTAATTTTTTTTCTTCATCAACAACAAATAAACCAAGCAGAAAGATCTTAACCATATTATCAAATCTTCTTGTTAAATATGCAATGTCATCAAAGAAACAAGACAGTGTTATAGATTATCAGATTAATAGTTGGCAAAAAAAGTTGATTTACAATCAAATATATGAACCAAAAAAATAACATGCACATTTTCTAACAAAATCCTAAAGGTACTACTGCATTCTCAAACGCTACATGCCAAAAGATAGTTCAACTATTGCTATAAAACTTCAATTGAAGCCCATTTAGAAACAATCACCGCCCTTGTTCACTACCATATACTGTACTATGAATTTGATTTGCAGCTGCTGGCTTTCGCAATATTTGAGGAGTATCACGTGAAGGCGTAAAACGAGCTGATTTTGGTCCTTCAATCTTATGTTGACGTTTTATTTGCATTCTAGTAAAAAAAAACAAAAAAACAATGGTAATGTTATATACACTAAGCAGTTGTTAAGCATATCGTAAGGGTGCACTATTCATCATCAGCATCAAACTTATCTTCCCTCTTGAGCTGTTCACGGTGTCCAAAATAAATGCCAGATTGATTGAACAAAGAGAGCAAATGCAGAAGCTCCTCAAAAGAAAGTTTTGAAGGCCTTTTATCTTCAAACTCTCCCGTTCTAAGCACCCCAATAATCTTTTCCTTGAACGAGGTAAACTCTCCTTCATCTTGAGCATCATCACCTTCGTGGGGAGAAGATTCATTGTATTCATTCGAGATTTTGAGCAACTCCAAAACTCTCCTCTTGTTCTTAAACGATGCCCCTAGTGTCTTGTTCCTGTTATTAAAACAAACCATGGTGAAAGCTCTCCACTCACGAAGATCCACATTGGGAACCTGAGGCTTCGGGCGGATTATGACCACAGAAGAGTCTACTTTAGGGGAAGGGAGAAAGTCCCTCTTGCTTACATCCATCACAAGCTCCACATCAGCCAGAAGCTTCACATTCACCGACAACCGGTTAGACCCAGAGTCACCGGGATTAGCCATTAACCTTCGAGCGAATTCTTTCTGAAGCAGAAGCGTGGCACTCCGAAACGGTGTCGGCCCATACACCAGTTTAATCATCAGAGGGGAAGATATCTGATAAGGAATGTTGGCCACAACAAGATCAAACCGCGGGAACGGGGCTTTCATCGCATCTCTTTCTATAACCTGCAAAAACCAAAACCACATGTAATGCTTTCTTCCTAAACTTTCTGCTTTTTGGCTTGGCCATTTCATCAAACAGATGAGGTGTGAGATGTGTGGTTGAGTAAGTCAACACTCACCCTGAGCTTATTTATGAAACCACGTTGAAGAACGCGCTTCTCGAGAACCTGGACCATGCGGTGATCAATTTCGAAGGCTACAACCTTGTGCGCTGCTTCGAGAAGCCTGAGGGTAAGGTTGCCGGTGCCGGGTCCGATTTCAAGGATAGTGTCTGTGGGTTTTATGGCGGATTTGCGAACAATGGTGTCCAGAATTCGAGGGTTGACGAGAATATGTTGGCCTCTGCTCTTGTGAAACCGTAAAAGCTCTTCGGCATCCCCATCTCCATGCACTTGGCGCACTGATAGTAACCTCCGAGGAATGAATCCAACTACGCGTCTGGAGGCGCCAAGCATGGTACCACTCTCATGAACATAATGCATTCCCCAACTTCAACAGAAAATAGAAACCTACTTTGCTCTTTTCTTACAAAGGCCCATCAAAGCCCATGTCAGAGGACCCAAAGGCCAACTGGATTTCCTTCTGTCTTTGATTTAGAGAGGAATCCACTTGGATCCTCACCACCCCAAGCCCAATATATAATAGCAATATAAATTTAATTATAATTTTGCATTTTTGAAAAATAATTGTTTCTGCAAGGTCAAACTGAAATGTGGGACCTGATTTGATAGTAATTATGGTTTTCCTAGTCCTTTCTATGCATGGGAAGAAAGGCTTGGAAATATGATTTTTAAATGTGTCCCATATATTATTGCATACGCGTAAACATGGCTTTGTGTTTGACCTGATCATGCAACAAGATTGGAGTCATCTTCTTGTCATTGGTATTATTACAAGCTTTCTGCTTGTCAAGAAACTAAACAATGCATGGAATGAACCAATGATTGTTTCAAGCTCTGGGGAATTCGTAATTCATTACAATTTACAAGTGTGTCGTGCTCTCAAAATCCCTATGATGAATGGGTACTTTCTTTAGCATTCTGAATCGAGAATGATTGGTCCTTGCTTTGGTTAGGGGTGAGAAAAACAATTGTATTATTTGTCTTGTTTTGGTGCTCTCCATTTCACTGTTCGGTGGAGTGCCAAACTGATTTTTCTTCAAATTTTCTATGTTTCTTTTTTAATTATGATTTTGTTAATCCTTAATGATAAAATTTCTTTTATCATTTTTAAGTGCAAAGTGCTATAATACTCCACTAACATTACCTAATCATATGAATAAAAAAGATACTTGGACCGACGTGTGGTCTTTGAATTTTAGGTTTAGGGAAAAAAAGAAAATGTTGGTTATAATGAGTGATGACTAATGGTCCAAACCAAAACATAGTTTAGAAAGAGTTTGCATAACTAACCGCCAAATCAAAATTAATTATTGGCAAACACTTTATGTATATTTTATTTTTATAATATAATCATAAAAATAATAAATTATTTTATTATAATACAATATATTATCTAATGATAATATAATACAGAGAAAGGAGAAAATTCAATCATTTTAAGAGTAATAACTCCAGATTCGATTTGTTTTGTTTTTTTTAATATATCTGACCCCTAACCAAATTCAAAAAGCGGAATAGAATAGAGCATTGCACCGACGTTAACGGCGTTAGGGTCCCAAGTTATTGGTGGACCTCACAAGAGTGGAGCACCGGTCCGTTTCAACGTTGCTTGTAGCCAATCAGGTTATTTTGGACCTTCTTCGTCCTGTCACTTTCCCAAAGGTTAATAATATATTTAATGTTTCAAAAGTCATTAAATATTTTACTTATCTAGTTAATCTGAGGATTGGTAACAAAGTTTTCTATACGTAGATTTATTTTTTTATCCATTATTTAATCGTTATATTTCTCATTAATACGTATAATTTACTCTTGAAACCAAATCACGTGTTTTAAAAGAGCTCATTTTTATTTACTTTTATTTGGTTACAAAGATAACAAAATACTAAGAATGAAAAAAAAATCTCCACTCAAAAAACAACTTTTCTCTATCAGTTCCATTTTTTTTTAACTTACAAAATTTATAATTTAAAAATTGACACGCATAATCTTACGAGTTAAATTTCATTGTTTTTTTGTTAACTTTCAAATTATTTATTTATTTATCTTTTCTCTTACTTTAGTGATGGAATCTTTTCGTGTTTTCAGTTGTAATTGGCAAGCAAAAGAACGTCGGTTGAATCTATTAACATAGTATAATTCATAACATTCACAGAGATAACCTATTTTTTTACTGGGTAATGAAAGATATCCACTTACACCCATAAACGTTAATGAGGAGCTACTTTAGGGTTATAATTTATTTTATTTTTCAAATAGGAAAACTATTTCATAATTTTAGTTTAATAGTGTTTTAAACTAAAAGATTAATCTTATAGTCCCTTCAATTGTTTTACTATTTATATCTTTCTTGGAAGATAAATTAGTTTTGTTTGAGGGTATACATTTAAATCTTAATTCGTAACTGCTTTTACTATTCTTGATCCTTAATTATCAATACTCTCGCGTCAATTAATTCATAGAGAAAGAGAAGCAAGGACATACAATTATTTTTTTTTTTTTTCAGACTACCTTTTTAAAATCAGAAACAAGTTTATTATTTTTTTTCTAAAGTAAATAAAAAAGTTGAAGCAAAACACTACCCCAAGTCCATGAGGAAACCCTAATTGTTGTCTTTGAAACTTTAAATTGGTCTTCTTATTAAAAGTACATGGCTTACATGGCATAATTATGTCTCCAAACAATCTTTCTTTATCAAAGTGTATTGAAATACAAAATCTGAAAATATTCATTTAAGATAAGGAACAGATGAAGGTGTAGCGAGATTCGTGGAAGAATAACACAAAAGCATGATTTGTTTTATGGTATCAACAAAAGAACATGTTTTTTTTATTATTCGTTGGCATTCATAATGTACATGAATGACTCAAGTTAATTATGGTATGAAGTTCAAAGTCCAAGATTTACGCTATGAAGTGGGTGGACCAAATCAGACGGACAAAGTTCCAATCTGAAACCGTTGTTTTGGGCATTAGACGATGTTGATGAACAAACAAACAACAAAGGCAATAAAAATTAAGAAACCATCAAATGTAATAATGAATAATGGGTGGGTTGAGAACAAAACATAGCCACGTGGGTGCTTAGGCTTCCGGGACATAAATCATGAAGAACCAACCATTTTTATAAACGACATTTACTCATGCTTAACCTCTCACCTTGGGTTGGTTACAACACCTAAAACTAATTTAAGGAGCACATGCACGGTAGAATAATATTTATGGCTTAAATAATGGTCTGAAACAAAGTATTTTAATTGATCAACTACGCAAGTGCACAAAATATACTTTTGCTTTTTCTATCTTTATACTGTTTTTTTCTTTTCTTTTTTAAAAAAAGGTGAATATTCTTCTGTTAACGAATAACCAACTTTAATGCTTTATCTGGAAGATATTCACCCAAGCCAAGTCTGCACAAAATAACCAGGTCCCCCACCCGGAGACGAGAGAATAACTCAATGTACGTCAATCATTTTCTATTATATAAAGATCAAATATCTTCCATTCAAAATTATCTTCAATATTTTTTCTTTAATTTATCAAATGATTTTTAATTTGATGGGATATATGTGTTATGTTTATGAAAAGAGTTAATAACATAAATATTGAAGGAATTCAAAAATTTAAGGTTTTAAATTATAATTTTTTTTCATTTATAAGGTTATCAATTTTTCTATTTATACTAAATATGTTGTTTTAAATCTGATTTAGATTTTCAACTATTTTTCTTTTAAATATGATTGATTTACCTTAATAAAAAAATTCTTAGTTACAAATATTAAAAAATATCTTATTTGGATGGTAATACAAATAACAAAATTCATTTACTTATAATGAAATTAAACATACAAAGATTCTTATAAATAATTTTGAACTAATTATATAAGAGAATAAAATAACACATTATTTTTATTATTTATTTTGTATTACTAAAATATTTTCCCTTCGAAACAAAATATAATAATAACAAATTAATTAGGTATTTAAGTGAATATAATTACAATCTATCATTATTATGTTGTAGTTGTCAAAAAGTTATTGACATGATTTTTTATAGGCAAATTATAGATAATTTTTTATAATTTTAGTTATGCAAATTAATGTTACCAAGATTTAAATCCACATCTGATCCTCTCTCTTTCACTTTTTATCACAAAATGAACCTTATATAGGCTAAATTTACATTACTGTGTACATGATTAATCTGTATAAATTATTTCATTTATTCATGGTATTTCCAAATCTGAAAAAAAAAACTGATTTTTAAAACAATCGATAGTATTGGGAGGTGTGAATGATATTTTTTTTTTATTACCATAAACATGTGTTGAATGTACTGTTCAATAAACTTGTATCTTTTCGTTTGTTTTATCAATAGAGACGCATATGATGTTTCTGACTCGCCTTGTAACCCATCACCAATGTATTGCTTAAATATGTAAGCTCTACTTAAACACACAATTTTATAGTTAATATTTTGACTTCATACTTATTTATCCACTTAGAACTCTATGCCTTGTTTTTTATTTAACTTAACTTTTCCTTTTCGGCCATACGACTCCTTTAGACTTTTTTATCTTATAGTTGGGTTTGGTGAAGTTGATGGAAGAAATTATATTATTATATACATGAATTAGAGTCTATACAAATAGATCAGTTAAATAATATACAAGTAACAAAATTCACAAAATTACTATCTTTAAATTTATGATTAAAAGGGTACTAAATTATTTGGTGTTCTTAACTTGTAACACATCATAAAGAATTAGTCAAGATGTATACCGTAATGAAAATTAAACTAGTACAATAATGAATAAAGGTTTACATATGTCATTATAATAATCATATAAGGTATTGCAATTCAATAATATATATTAAAAATAAACATGTTAAGTTTTATTTCGTCATCATATATACTCTGTTATAAATAATAATCAAATTATGAGATAATATTAAAGTACGTTAGACATGACCTTTTAATTTTTCCTTAAGCTTGGTCATTGCGGAAAGTTGAGACCAAAAAATAAAGGTAGTACGAGTTTGGTATCCACTCGAGAGGCTAAAGAAGTTGACAAAAAAGAGGTGAGGCTTGATTTTCTTGTTCTATGGTATCCAAGGCGAGATATAACTTTGATTTTCTCTATCTTTGTTTTAAATAAAATGGGCAACATTGTGAAAGTGTGACAGTGGTAATAAATGGGTGTTCTGAAGACAATACGATAAGGGGTTGGCTCACCGTTGGTTCACATGACATGACCAATTAAAGCGACAAAGAGAGCAAAGAAAAAAAAAAGGGTTTTCCTTTCTGTTCCGGGTTCACATGAAATCAGCACTTATGTGTGGGCCATGATTGGTCATAAATACGGCATTCATCCACTCACATCTCAAACCAAACCCTTAAATTGCTTAAACGGTTGCTTTAATCTGTTATTTTTATTACCAATTTTCTGTTATGCTCTACACAACAGACATGGCAAAATAAATAACTGTTTCTCGTACTGTGGCACATCCTTAACACAAAAGCTACTAAAAAACACCATTTTATGCTTCAAATGAGTCTTGCCATGTTGTAATCAACTGGAAATAGCATTACTACCACCACTCAACTAAAAAATTGCTCGAGAATAAAGGTCGTTCTTACATTTATTTTCCTGAGTGGTAACTAATTGAATTTGTTTTAGTTGTAAATAAAACTCTAAATAGTTAATATTTGTGCATTTAATTGATAAATAAGAAATGTGGATGTAGGTATTTATTTAGATCACATTCTTTGTTGTGGTTGTTTGGCACCATGGAGAATAATAATAATACACTTACGGAGAGGTACATTATTATTACATAATTATTATAACTACTTTCGAACATTGGTTGGTCGCACAGAGGCACGCTAGGAGCGGTGTCCTCGACACCTGTGGCCACGAATGAGTGCCAAAAAAATGCTGTTTTGCGTTACGTCTTATATAAATTGGTCTACTCAGCACTCAGCACTCAGCACTGAGCTGAGTGAGTCTCACTCGGACTTTCTCTTTCTCTTTGGATTCCAAAACCACAGCACTCAAACCAACACCCCCCCCCCCCACTCTACCTTTTCTTTCTTTCTCTCTCTTCGCATTCTCCATTGCTTTCGAGATTGGTGGTGAAACAATGGAAGCCAGCTCGGTTTCCAAAATGCAGTTTGCGTTGTTTGGGTTGGCGTTGTGGTTGGGTGTTCAGCTGGAGTGGGTTCACTGTAGTGTTACCTACGACAGAAAGGCCATCCTCATCAATGGCCAAAGGAGACTCCTTTTTTCTGGCTCTATACATTACCCCAGAAGTACCCCAGATGTAATTTTCTTCTTCCATTTCCTATGATATTGTTTCTTGCATGGCCTCAGAAACTTTACCTTGTTCACTGTTTTTTTTTTCCTGTGTAGATGTGGGAAGATCTGATTTACAAGGCTAAGGAGGGAGGGCTAGACGTCATTGAAACCTACGTCTTTTGGAATGTTCACGAGCCTTCTCCTGGCAATGTATTTCACTAACACTATTTTTATTTTTATTTTTGATGAAATTGAGGTTTATTATCTCTGTTCTCTGTTCAGTTCAACTTTGAAGGAAGGTATGATCTGGTGAGGTTCGTGAAGACAATACAGAAAGCGGGGCTATATGCTCATCTTCGCGTTGGACCTTATGTCTGTGCAGAATGGAATTTCGGGTACCTTAAAATTTCTCACTTTTTTTTTTTTTTTTTTTTTTGTAGTTTCTAACTCGTGCTTCTGGGGTTTAGTGCGATTATTCAATGATTTTCTTTTGTAATGTGCAGTGGTTTTCCTATTTGGCTCAAATATGTTCCAGGCATCAGCTTTAGAACAGACAATGAACCTTTCAAGGTCTCTCTATCGCAAGCTACAAATTTTCATTTTGTTATTAAATAACTAAATAAAAAAAGTTTGGAATTTCTTTCTATTGAAACGGTTTTATTGATGACTCATGAACGGTGTTGCAGAGGGCAATGCAAGGGTTCACTGAGAAGATTGTGGGAATGATGAAGAGTGAGCGTCTCTATGAATCTCAGGGTGGCCCTATAATACTCTCTCAGGTGTTATTTAGTCTCCATTGCTAACTTGCTTTTTGTGTATTTATACTCAACCAGTAGTGGTTGTAGACTTTTCAGTTTAGATCTGGCTAAGTGGCTATAATCATAGTGATATACGCACAATATGCTGTTACAGATTGAGAATGAGTACGGGCTACAGAGTAAATTACTTGGACCCCCTGGCCAAAGGTATATGAACTGGGCTGCAAAAATGGCTATTGAAACGGGAACGGGAGTCCCCTGGGTGATGTGCAAGGAAGATGATGCACCAGATCCTGTGGTGAGCATTTTCATTCTTCCTCTTGAAAGTTATGTATCGTAATATTATATGCTGTTCTCAGATGCACCATCAACTTTTTTTACTCTTGTTCTATTATTATTATTATTATTATTATTAAAAATGGAACATCCAACGGATTGTAACCTGAAGTTTTCTTTTCAAGCGCCTTGCATGTTCAGGAATGGGTTCGTATATTAATCTATTTGTTTTCTATTTAATGACAGATAAACACATGCAATGGCTTTTACTGTGATTATTTTACTCCTAATAAACCCTACAAGCCTTCAATGTGGACTGAGGCTTGGAGTGGATGGTAATCATTTGTGTTGTTACTCTCGAAGTTTAGAATTAAAGAAATGAGCTTGTATAATTTTTTATCTCAAATATGAAGGTTTTCTGAATTTGGAGGTTCAGTACATGAAAGACCTGTTCAGGATTTGGCATTTGCAGTTGCCCGATTCATACAGAAAGGAGGATCTTTTGTAAACTACTACATGGTTGGTTTTGTTATACACTAACTCAATTGTAAATTTGATAATGAAGATGATGACAACAGCATTTACTCTATAACTTTCCTTTGCACATGTAGTATCATGGAGGAACCAATTTTGGCCGCACAGCTGGAGGCCCTTTCATCACCACAAGTTATGATTATAATGCTCCACTGGATGAATACGGTGAGAACTGAAAATTTTGTATTTTATGTAACTTCTGGCTATTGCTGTCATTTTATTTAGTTGCTTCCATTACATCTATACCAACAATTTTAAGCCTGAACGCTTGTTCACTGGTCTGAAGTATGACACTCTACATGCTTTCGTTCGTTGTTCCATCATTACACGCCTGTTAACTGACTACATGTGTTAAAAAAAATGGTAGGTTTGATCAGGCAACCTAAGTATGGTCATCTAAAGGAGCTTCATAGGGCTATTAAGATGTGTGAGCGGGCTTTAGTTTCAACTGACCCAACTGTTACTTCATTGGGGAATTTTCAACAGGTTTAACTTACTCTCTTTCTCTCTTCGCTGTGCCACAAGTTTCTTTGCTGACCCTAGTGAGTATTCACCTTTTCCCAGGCTCATGTATACTCGGCAAAATCTGGAGACTGTGCTGCATTCCTCTCAAACTATGATGCAAAATCTTCTGTTAGAGTGGTGTTCAACAATATGCACTATAACGTACCTCCGTGGTCCATCAGCATCCTTCCTGATTGCAGAAATGTTGTTTTTAATACAGCGAAAGTATGTAACAAAAGTCGGAGATTTGAAATCATCATATTCCTTTGGTACTCTGGGATCACACAATTAATGCATCTTAGCACACAATTTATTCACCTTCAATATCATCATCAATGATATTCAACAATTTAAAATTGTGTAAATACATTAAATACATCTTCTCCTCTATTAGGTTGGAGTGCAAACATCTCAGATGCAAATGCTGCCAACAAATACACATATGTTCTCATGGGAGAGATTTGATGAGGAGGTTTCGTCTCTTGATGACAGCTCTGCAATTACAATCACTACTTCTGGTCTCCTGGAACAGATAAATGTAACACGGGATACCAGTGATTATCTTTGGTATATAACTAGGTAAGCTTCATTTTCTAAATTTGGTTAAGTTTGTTTCTTAAGTAAGCGACTTTGCTAATCTCTTGCGTTGTTTTAATTCCACCCACCACACATTGACACTTTGATCAGTATTTAATCCTTGCTTAACAATTCTGTTTGTTCATTTTTTAATCACAGCAGAACACTTGCATTAGCCATGAAAATAAATGTATTACTATTGTAGATGCTTAAATAGCATGAGATGACTTTGACATTTAATGGAATCTCTCCTGCTAAATGTTTGAAAACCATTTTTGCGATACTAATTATTTCATGTGTATTTGTCTATAGTGTTGATATAGGTTCATCCGAATCCTTTCTCCGAGGAGGCAAACTACCTTCTCTCTTTGTTCAATCCATGGGTCATGCTGTGCATGTTTTTATCAATGGTCAACTTTCAGGTGTGTAATCTGCTTCCTTTACTAGATCTCCTTTCCATGTTATTAGTCAAAGGAAACATGATAAATATGATTGAAAACAGGTTCTGCCTTTGGAACACGGGAGGATAGGAGAGTCAGATATACTGGCCCGGTAAACCTCCATGCTGGCACAAACAGAATAGCACTGCTCAGCGTTGCCGTTGGACTTCCTGTAAGTTTTATTTCCACCTTTACTTATCCTACTACATACAAGTATCAATCGATGGAATTCATTGTCGAAGGCCAAATTTTCACATAAACTGTCTAAAGTTTATTTTTGTTTATTTTGTGGTTTCTTCTTGAGTTTTCTTCTGGAAGATATTCTACACTTTTTTTGATTGAACGAGTTGTCGTCGTGTCCATTCATTCTCCTTATTGTTGTTTCAACTGTGCTTATAAAGGCTTTATTCTTTTGTCTATTTATGATTAATATCATTATTTTCTGATGTGTTGTCCTAGAATGTGGGAGGACATTTTGAGACTTGGAACACAGGAATCCTTGGTCCAGTTGTACTCCGGGGACTTGACCGGGGAAAATGGGATTTATCTTGGCGTAAATGGACTTATCAGGTTGCTTAGTCTTACTTTAGCTTCTTAAGTTGTACTGGTTACAAAGGAATTTTTTATTAAGACATGCCAACTTTTTAAACAGGTTGGGCTGAAAGGAGAGGCCATGAATCTTGCATCTCCAAATGGTATCTCCTCTGTAGAGTGGATGCAGTCAGCATTAGCTTCAGACAAAAATCAACCACTGACGTGGCACAAGGTAAAAATAGACAAAAATGTACGTAAGGTTCATGAAACCAATTATTGGCCATAAAAAATGATTAAATTTATTGGTATATTTGCAGACTTATTTTGATGCTCCAGATGGAGACGAGCCGTTGGCATTGGACATGGAGGGTATGGGTAAAGGTCAAATATGGATCAATGGACTGAGCATTGGAAGATACTGGACTGCTCCAGCTGCTGGTAATTGCAATAATTGCAGCTATGTGGGCACCTTCAGACCTCCAAAGTGCCAGGTTGGTTGTGGCCAACCAACCCAGCGATGGTAAGTATTGTTTTTGGTTGACATTGTAGGCAATGCGTGGCTCACTCAGGCCATGAGTCCCTCACATTTGGCACTAAATATTTCAGGTACCATGTACCTCGATCTTGGTTGAAGCCAAATCATAATCTGCTAGTTGTTTTTGAGGAACTCGGGGGAGATACCTCAAAGATATCACTTGTAAAGAGAGCAGTGAGCAGTGTCTGTGCTGATGTGTCTGAGTACCACCTAAGTGTTACGAATTGGGAGATTGAAAGCTATGAGAAATCAATAGAGTTCCATGCCCCCAAAGTTTACTTGCATTGCAGTCCTGGCCAGACCATCTCGTCCATTAAATTTGCAAGCTTTGGAACTCCTCTCGGGACCTGTGGAAATTATGAGCAGGGAGATTGTCATTCTCCCTCTTCCTATTCCATTCTAGAGAAGGTACTCTCCGACTTCATTTCGCTATCCAACTCATCAACTTTGTAACAAATTTTTCTTTGAACGAAACTATAACTAATGTTCTTTGTCATTTTTCTCAGACATGTATAGGAAAGCGAAGATGCACGGTCATTGTGTCAAACAGAAACTTTGGGGATGACCCTTGTCCAAATGTGTTGAAGAGGTTATCAGTTGAAGCCGTTTGCACTCCAACCAAGTGGAGGGGCTGAATGGTTAAAAAACACCATTTTACGTGCAATTGCAGTGACTTAGCGAGAAAAACTCTAGAACAATAGTAGTATAGGTAAAGTTAAGTGTCATAGTTGTTTTTAGGAAGAAAGTAATTATATTCTGATAAGTTGGTGCCGAAGGCACGAGGTTTATGATTTTTAGTTAGTGATGTGTGTCAACGGGGTGTATAAATTAGTGATGATTGGATAGGAGAGTTTTAAACCGAGAGTCCAAAATTTGGAGTGGTGGTTCCTGGCCTTTAAAGTTTTAACTGTAGGCACGGGAAATTGAGGCACTTAGGTTGGTGTGATGTTATTTTTTTGTTTCTTGTTTGTGGGGTAAATTATACTCAAACCAAACCATTCTCTCAACCGTTTATTTATAGTTTGTTGTTCTTTGCACTTTGCCTCTTTTCTTTCCCCCATTTTTTTTTTTTTTAATGAAGCAGCATCTACAATGACTGTGTAGGCATAAATTTCTAAGTACCATACATTTAGATAACTAGGATACGTGTGAATCAACTTTTCATGAGTTTTTTTTTTAAGAAAAAAAGTGATGAATTTTTTTATAAATTTAAATTAATTTTATATCATAGAGATCTATTTATTTCAAAAATAAAAATTAAAGATTTATTGTATTTTATCGTAATATACCCTCTTAAAATATATAATTTTTAAAATTGAATCATACGTATCAAGATAAACATTGTTTTTAATGAATTTTATTAATTTTTTCATTATCTTAATATATTTTTCATATAAAATTTTTTATAATTTGTTTATTTTTTATAATAATAAATATAATTAAAAAGATGAGAATATAATTGATAAAAAAATCTCAATAATTCATTATATTCTTTCTACATTAAATATAATCTTAAATTTTATAATAAACATATATTTAGAATTTCTTTTATCAAAATATCATGTATTTTAAAATAAAAAGTATTTGTTAAAATAAATTACTTTTTATATTATAAAAAATTAAATGCTGATAAGAATAATTTATTTTTATTTTTTAATTTATTTTTTTGTAATTTTAATTAATTAAAAATAAAAAATTAGAGAAATTATACGATAATTTTTTATAAATTTAATATATAGAAACTAAGTTTATATTTTTTTCAATTTCTTTTTTTACATAGAGTTTTTTTTTATTGATATGTTTTATCTCGTCACAATTTTATTTTTAAAATACGTTTTACTATATTAAGAAATGATTGTGTATGTAATTATTATTGGCCTTGACTCATAAAAATATACGAGAGCATAAACTTCTTAGTCAAAACCTAAGGTTGTTTATATATATCATATCTCCCAATCTAACGAGGCGTCTCTTACGGATAAAATCGTCTAAGATAATATTTTGGACATAAAAATTGATGTTAACAATATTATCATAACGGATATGAGACCAAAATATTTTCATTAGAAGAAATAAATCATATTTCAAAATAAATCTTACATATAAATTAATAAATAATAATTATATTAAATTAGTCATTTTTTATTTTTCATATTTGGAGTTTACATTATAGAAAATAAATCCATTTATTTCTATTTCTTATTTAAAAGAAAACTAGAGATAATTTACGCTTTATTTGTTACATTCCTTTTTAATGATTTTCGTTGAAAAAAATATAAAGATCAGAATGAAAAAGAAGAGAGAATCAAAGCAAAAATAGTCCAAAAAAACTTTTATAAATTTTATATTTACTCTCAATCACAACTGTTTAAGTTTGATTACTAGACTGTCAACTTGTTTCATGATACTGTATTATTTGATAATTATTTATTATTTTAAAAGTAAATATTTTTTTTATAAATTATATATTAAAAGTAAAAATATTTAATAATTTTATTAATATATTTTAAATTTTAAATAATTATATATTTTTTAAAATTTTATTTAATTGTTTAATTAATTATTTTTATATAAATATATTATATATTTTTTAATCTTAAATCAAATCAAAATTAACTTAAATCCAACAACTTAATATAAGATTAAGTTAAATAAAAAATATAATTAATTTTAAAATATAAACTAAGATAAATGATTAAATATTTTACTTAATTCATTGGTTAGATTAGATTGAACGTGTTTTTGTTTTATAAATTTAACTTAAAAAAAATTATTTAGTCTAAATAATTCAAGTTTTTTATTTGTTATTTTTATTTGTTATATATTTTTAATAAATTGGACGATAAAAATTTAAGATCTAACATCAAACAACTTAAAAAAAATAAAAACTAAAACTAAAATATGTAAGGGGTAAGTCAAATTATATTTAATTATATATTATAATTAAATCGAATAAAATTAAATTAATTATTTTAGTGAACATAATTAATTTTTTTTATAAAATAAAAAGTTAAAATAAAAAATAAAAATAAAAAGTAAAAATATTTATACGAAATGATGAACCTTATCCAAAGACATCAATGTCTCGATGCTTCACAAAATTTATACTTATAAATTATACAAATTATATAATATAAACCTATTACATAATATTGTACTTATCTTATAATGTAAATTTATTCTGAAAAAACACAATATTAAGATTTATATATGTAATTCACCCACATGCAACCTAACATAACCCAACAAATGGTAGTACCATTTAATCGGTTACATAATTAATATTTTTTGAAGAAAATAGTTAAAAAATATAAAGTGTTACATATATTTGATTATTTATTTTTTTATTAATAAATTATAATTTCATCTATTAATAATATTAATAGATTAGATATTTGTATGTGACTTTGGCAATTTTATAAAAAATTAAATAAAAAAATATTTTTTTGTATTTATTTAATTAATACAAATATTTATTTAATTATTTTAGTTGCAATTATAGATTATTAAAAAAATAAAAATTATATCTGATGAATGTAGGTTAATAAAAACAATATATATTTAAAATATAAAGTATATTATTTTAAATAATATTATTTGTGTAATGTATTTTTTAAAATATAAAATATGTTAATTATTATAAAAATAATTTTACCATTGAAATATAATTAGTCATGTTATCTTATATAAAAGTAGGTATGTTTTATAAAAAATATATTTTTAAATTATTTTCGAGTCTTTTACTATTCTTACCTAAGTCATCACCATTTATGTTATTTTTTAAAAAAATTTATCTATAAAAATATTTTTAATATTTAATTATTTTTATAAATAAATATTTATAATTTTCAAAATATTATTAATAATTAAACATATATTTTTTAATTTAACATATTTAAATTAAATTATGAATGCAAAAAAAATATACTGTGAAACTGATTTAAGAGATATAAAACTGATTGAAAAGATTTAAAAATATATGAAAAAAATAAAATGCTAGAAAGAAAAATAATTAAAAGATTAAAAATAATAAATTAGATGAAAAAAATATAGACAAAATAAAAAGTTATATTATAAATAATATGAGTAAAAAAGATATTTAAAAGAATTAATATTTTAATGTTTTTTAAATTTTGAATTTAAATATAATATGAAAAACCTTCAAGAAATTGATATTATGTTATCCATTTTGGTTCACAAATCCAATGTCTTAAAACAGATAAAATGCTGATTATAACTTTCCCATGACCACATGTTTGATTGCTACTACAGTTGGCATTGTGCTTAGAAGGATCAAACATCAAAGTAACTTGTTTAATTTAGCAAATGCAACAGTTTATAAAACCAAAACACACATGACAAAAAGATACAATTGCCATGTTTTTAATATCAAAAGGTAATGAAAAGAGGCCATGTAATTTTGATTCATGATATAACACCAAACACTATTATTCAAGACAGACGGATATAAAGCACCAGTTATTATCCAGAACTAGATGATAGAGTAAAAAGTCTATAACAAGATTATAACACAAAGACAAAAACATATTTGATAAAGTCTTTGAAAATGAGGGTAAGAGAGCAGGCAGATTAAGCACTGGATGATGCAGCCACATGTTTCGCTATTGTCTGCTGCAATTCTTCCTTCTTTGCTCCCACCACTTTGCCCAAAAGAGTTCCCTCCTTCACGAACACAAATGTTGGCATTGCCTCAACAGCAAAATCTTGGGCAACACTCTGCAATCAACAAAATCTTCTTCATTAATCGATAAATGAATGTATTCTTTCTTGTTTTATCTGTTATTTTGGTAGGAAAATGAAAAATATTTATTTTACCTTCAATTCATCTACATCCACCTTTAGGAATACGACATTTGCATACTTCTTAGCAAGCTCAGCCAGGAATGGTGAAATGAAACGGCATGGTCCACACCATGAAGCAGTAAAATCCACAACAATCTGACACAATTTTCATGATTTCTAATAAAATATAAATACAATACTACACATGTTTTATTAAAACTAAAAAATTTTAATATAAACATTTTCATTTTCCGAGCGAAAGAGAGAATCTATGAAACTTAGTATACGATAATGCTAGCTACAAATGTAAAATGATTATAACTACTAATAAGGTAGTGCAGATTGGACTGGAGTGGCTGTAATGCATGATTTGATTCACATCTATGAGTAGGTAAAACATAAGGCTGATTATAGATTATCCAAGCAGAAATAGCTGAAAATGAAACAATTATTTTAACAAACAATAACTCATAATTATCATAACTCTTTTTTTAGAGAAATGGCATTCTCCCACAAACCCATATCTCACAGATCTTGTAGCAAAGACAAAGTAATAGAAAAAAAGTAATATGCGTGTAATGTGCATAAACAGTGAAAAGAACGTATTTTTATGAATGATCCTCCACATGCAGTCTAAGAAAAGTTTAATTTCACACAAGTATATATAATTTGCAGAAAACCAAGGAAAACCTAAGATTAACAAGATCGTGTATTTAGTAATAAATTTATATATAATAGACAATGAAAAAATAAGATCAGTAGAGTCCTCTACAGTTTTTTCCGTCCTCATTGGATTAGGAGAAACATAGATTCCTCCGAAAGCAATACAAAATCATCACCACAAACAAAAAAAAAAAACAGAACTTTTTTTCCAGAATCCTGATATCATCAAAATATAAAAGCAATAACAACAAAATTAAGCACAGATCGAATCCAAAGAACGCATGCTTCAAACGATTTATTGATAAAATTATGTATGAGACGTAAAATGTAGAGTAATGATGTGAAAAAAACAACAGAAAAAAGAAGAAGAAGAAGCAAACAAATCAACCATCGTACCATAAATTGAGATCAACCGATCCATGCAAATTAAAATTAATTAAGAAGTCCATTGATACATACGAGTTTCTTTGATTCATTGCCCTTTTGGAGTTGTTCCGTCCATGCCTCAACAGTGTGGCAGCCAATGACTTGTCCCTCTTCTGATGCGCCTGCCATTCTCTCAATCCTTATTTTCTCAGAAAGAAACCTTTGCCAGTTACAAATTTCAGTGCATAACTATAGCTGCTGCTCTGTCACTACCTTATATAAGCAACGTTTATATGTACTCTTGTCAAAAGGGACTCGTTTTTCTCACTATTTACCACTTTGCCATCTGACCATGATGTTTGGGCCTGCCCCATTTCTGTTGTGCACACCAAATAAATATAAGATTGTCCAATTAGTTGCAATTGATCCTTCAGTTTCTCAGATAAAAAAAACAAAATCATCCTTTTCAATTAAGTGCACTGCTTTTCAAAAATTTTAAATTCATTTTAACATAAATATTTTTCAATAGTTCTTTTTCTGCTACTATAACATGTCATTTGTTTTTTTTTATATTTTTTTTATTAAATTTGTTAACGTAATTATGTTACTAGCTGCACAGTGTATTATAAAAATATTATAATTATAATTACAATTTGTAAAAACATTTCTTAAAAGAGTGATTGTTTATCAATATTTTCTAATGCACATGTTTTTTATGTAAGTTGTTGCTTTGTGTATTTTAAAAAAAATCATAGTAATAATTTATCAATATACTTCCTATTAATGAGTGTAACGTAGAATATATATATATATATATATATATATATATATATATATATATATATATATATATATATATATATATGTTTTTTTAATCCACTATTTTTCTCTCTGTGGAATAAAATAATTTTTTAATTTATTCGGTGAATGACAGAATTAAATAGTTTTACTTTCTCTGTGTCAATTTGACCTTTATTATGATTTAAGTAATAATTAAAATAAAAAAGTTTTGCCACCTTAAATAGGCATATCTTATTTTTAAACATAAGATCCAATTTTTATGTATTTATCTAAAATAATATTCTGACCTTCTTGTAGATTTTATTAATCAAAATGAAAAAGAAAAAAAAGTTAATCACTTTTACCTTAAATGGGCATATATTATTTTTTAAAACATTCGATCCATTTACCTAATGTTAAAAGTTTGTTCAAAAAACTTACTCATTCAAAAGTTAATATATACAATAGTTTTAAATATTTAATAAACATATAAAATTGACATATTCCAATAATTTTCAATCTTAGTTTGCTAAAACAAATCAAATTACATCATGTTGAATAGGATAAGATAAATTAAGTGGATTTTTCTAATAACTCTAGTAATTGACATAGTAGCCATTAACATGTTAACATTAAGGATTTTTCATTTAAAAATAACATCCCAAAAACTCCGGTGTTTTTAGAATGAGTTTTACCTAAGTTTTTGAACATGGAAAAAATTTCCATAAAAATAATGAAAATCTATTTTTCTGAGTTAAAATAAAAATACTATTGAAAAAAAATACAATATTATTCTCGCTTAATCATTTAATGTGAAATTTGTAGCCAAATATTTTTACCAACTATATAGAACTTAGTTGTTGCTAAGATTCACAATTCACAGGATATGCCATTTTCAGGAATAGGATTTATACTTTTATTTTTGGCCATCCTTTTACGAATTCTTCTCCGTTTGATTTTGACACTGATATTCCTCACCCCCAGAACAGTTATCTTTTTTTCAAGAGTTGGTTCGCAAAAACGTGTCACCCCCTCATTGGTTACACATTCTTTTAAAAGGATTTCTTTTAAGATAACTAAAAGTCAAAATATTATTTCACACAACACAAGGCAATGTTCTTATTAATGATATTGTGATTTTTTTATTTTTTTCAGAAGGGTAAATAGATAACCTAGAAGAAAAAAGATGCCGCCTAGATGCTGGCATCTAGGGTGTACTACATAGGCTTCTTGTATACTTAAAATACAAAACAATCAAAGAAGTCCAATTATTAATAGGATGGCAACACCCTCCTATTTCCAAACTTAAAACACAGTTTGTGAATGGCCAAAGCCTATGAAGGGCTAGAATCGTGGGACAAAATGTCTTGGGCATCAATGAGATGTGGGGCAGGATGCTGCAAGCCATTTTATCTATAACAAAATGATACCACAAGAAGAACAAGTCCTATTGAAACAACAAGCCTTGGAAACAAAAATTATCGGAATACAAAGTATATGATTATTAGTCATGTTTCACCAACAAAATAGCACGTACTAAAATTGTATCAAAGAGAACCAGAGAAACAGATACTACAACTGAATCAGGTTCTTGAAACAATAAGTACTGAGAAGGAACCAACCAATAAGAACAAAAGTGAAAAAGAACCAAAACTTTAAGAAAGTGAAGCCCCCAAATGTGACTCCAAGAAAAAATACAACCACAAATGGTAAGATAGAACGAAGCATAGATGCTCTGCTGACCCAACGTCCATTGAATAAAATGAAAATTGCAAGGTTCACCACATTCCATCCACCAGACAAGAAATCCAACCTGTTTAAATTATTGGCAACAAATGAGTGGCAGTTGCAGGTGAAGAGATTGTAAGATCGATGTTGGAATTCTTGAGTGCTTTTCCTTAATGCATCATCCCAAGTCCTTAAATCTTCTCCATTTTCACCCTGCATGTAGTGTCCCTGACTATTGTATGCAGACTGGCCCAGAGGAATACAACACTGCCAACAATTTTTTTAAACAACATTTGAGAAACAATATACAAACAGAAAATTAGGGAGCTAAAACCAAGTTCCTGCAAAATATGACTCTTCACAGCTTCCATTTGTTGTATATCATAGCATGATGAAGAAATAAAACCCCAAAAGGAAGTTACAGACTTGAACTTGTTTGACAAAAAAACAAGAATCTCATGATATAGTCTTACTTTCCATTTCTTGATATGTCCCAGCTTTAGTTTAGGACAATATGTTTACTAAGGCCAAGCAAACCTTTTCTATGTTCTATTCACACAAAGAAAGACTAAACAATAGCATATACCTTTTCTTTGGGAATCTGAAGATAGCGAGTGGCGGCTCCAAATGCAAAATGGTCCACACACACAAAATTAGGTCCTGCAAAATCCAATATTACTCCATCCTCTCTGCAGATGCCAATGTGGCCAATGCAAGGAATGAACCACGAGATCACAGGAAGTGGTGACCACACAACGGAGCATGGAAATCGAGCCCTTTTCGGATCAATTTGCATAGTTTGCGAATAACTTCCTTCCATCATCTGCTGCTGCTCAAGATCCAACTCTGCTCCCATTGCAAAAGTCGGAAGAACCGACTTGCCTATACGCAACAAGCCATTACAAAACTGAAAGTCATAAAATCAAACATGTTCATAAACAAAGGCGTATACTATATACATTTTATTTTAACCTAAAGCCAAATCATCACTAAGAAGCAGGTGTAGTATCTAATATTTCCAATTTCCATGATTCAAGTGAAACAACGACGGAATTCAAATACTGCATATCTTTTAAGGTCCTCAATTTCTGGTTTCAAGAACAACCACGACGCAGAGCACTAAACCTAGTTTGACCACTACCTACTAGACTACTACATCGTTCCTTACATAGACTTGGGTTTCGAAATTCGAGATTTAGGGTTTCGCGAAATGAATTGATGAGAGAATGATCCCTAATCTGACATAAACAATATGTGCGATTCATGATGAAATTACAAAGCAGAAGAAAGCCAAGGCTAGCATAGTAATGAAATATAGTCAACACATAACATAGAAAAGAAATAAGAGAAACAGATCCGATCCAATCACCTTGTATACCAGACGCAGAAGAATAGCTACTCGCTCGCAAACTTATGTCACTGCGCACAATTTCAGAGCTCAGTAAACGCAATGTGTATAATTAATTATCTTCTAAACTCTTTACTTTTTCATGTTCTTCTTCTTAATTATTTGTTATTATTATTAATATATTTTCTCACCGTCTTTGCTACAGTGTGAAACAAATATTATTCAAACTCTTTTCTATCATCTTAATTTTTAATTTTAATTGCCTTTTTTAATGACTTTTAAAATGTCTCAGTTTAATTGAACACTTCAATGACTTCTGAAATTGAGAGCATGTAGAAGAACTTTAATGGAAGTGTTTGAAATGATCTTATTGAAACTACTCCATTATATAAGTGATTAAATATCTAAACGTGGTTTGTGAATTTAGTCCCAACCCCTCGAAATATTTTTTCTTCTTTATTTTTGTAAACCTATAAAAAAAAATTCAATTATTTTAAAATATTTAATAACCTCTTATAAATTTTGTCAACTTTTTATTATTTGAAAAATGTTGATCATATACTTTTAGTCTTTTATCTCTTTACAAGACACTTTTATCTTATTTTTGTATTTTCCTTGTTGATAGTTGCTATATTATCTTAATTGTTCTTCCTTTGTTATTATTTTGATATCTACTTAATTATTTTATTTAATATGATTATGTTTTGCTTTTATTACTTTTTATACGTCTTCTAATCTTAAATTTATCATGTAAATTATTACATGTTATATCTACAGTTTCTCATGAGAAAATTTAGGTAGATCTAGTTGAGTATGGATCTAGATAGTTATTATTTAATTTAGACCAAATCACTAATTATAAACACTTCATCTAAGACTGTAAATAAAGTCTAAAATTTAGTGTGAAACAAATTTAGTGTTAAAATTAATACATAATATGCCTTTAAATAAAGTCTAAAATGTAGTGTAATTTCTTCAAAATAAAATGGATTCCCTCAAGTATAGACAATAGCAGAGGTTGCCAAAATTAGAGACAAAACAACTTATAACCTATTATAACAAAGAAATGTTGTGACACTGGTTTACCATAAGGGACATTCACGTTTTTATAATCATATTTATTCATTTTCCCTTGACTTCTAAGAGCTTTGGGTAGCAATCAATGGTTGGTTGAGGGAAGAATTGTCACTTTTTTCTTCCCAGCGAGTATTGGAATCAATTAGGACTATGACCTCTTCGGCAGACTTTGTTTCTTGACTTCTTCCCCAGAGAACAAGATACAGGCCGAATATGATTAAGAATGCTCCAGTAATCCTGCATCTCAAAACAAAAAATAATAAATTTTTAAATGACTCGTGTAGGTTAGGATCATTAATCAATCTATGAAATTCGTATCACACAGACAATTCAACAATTCAGATGTTTCACCAATTTTCCTGAAAAAGAATTAAAAAAATCATGTAAGCTTAAATTTTGAAATAAAAAGAAAAATTGAAATGAATTTATCCTATTAGATTATTTCACCCTTATCTTTCCCTTACTCGTTCAAAGCGTGTACTTTATATAACTAAGTAATTGTTTGGACTCTATTCTTCTAAAAAAAATAATTCACAAACTTAACTAAGATTCACATCGAGAAAATGAGTGGGGTCAACATTTCTAGAATTAATACTGATACAGATGTGTTTAACTCAACACGAGGTTTTGCAGCTTCCTTATGTACTATAATTTGTGTGTCACCGAGGATTTGAACACAAAACTCTAAAATAATCCAAAGCTCAAACTTTAATCCTTCAGCGGATAACATATTTTGCGTTACAAAGAAGTGTAAGAAAATGATGAAATTAAAGTCGCTTGGATTATCAGAACCTACCCTCCCAAGAAGAATTCTTCTCCAAAAATAATAGATGCCATCACAGCTACAAGTAATGTTTGTAAAGGTAGATAAATTGAAGCAAGCACTGGCCCTCCTTTGCCAATAGTCCATATCTGTATAGCTGATGCCAAGCCTGAAGTCACCAGTCCCTGATACAAACCAGCCTATTCTGTCATCTCATTTGTCATATTTCATTTCCCTTTAACATAAAAACAACTCACATCATAAATACTAATAACCAGAATGAGTTTTCTTGATGTCAAGGTCATCAATTATGATCCTTGATCAAGTTAAAGGAAAATCCAAATTAAGCTAGCTACAGTGGTGCTTTGTCTTTGAATTTTCACTTCCATCATCAGCCAAAATGAAAAATCTAAATTGTGGTGTAGATTGAAACATCAAGTGAACCAACATGCTGATGAAAATGTAAATAGAGCAATCAGTTTAATTGACAAACCGAGAACAAAACACTGTAGATCTCTACACTAGAATTGAACTGCCAGGCTTTGGAATCCTTCTCAAAAAAGGCTGCAATTGTCAAAAACTGCACAACACCAAAGAAGCACGTAAATGCAGAAACTGTGAGCGGGGCTGAGTATTTTTTCAGAACAAATGCTTGCATCACAATCCAACCAGACCAGCATAAGGAGTGACCAAAGAGATAGATGCCACCCAAGTTCCAGTCCTTTCCTGGGGTATCCCTCATTTTAGACAAGTGTTGTTCCTGATGTAATGCTAAATGCGGAGTATAAATGACAGGTCCCTTGTAAAGGGTAATGATTGTAGCTCCGCCAACAGAAGCAAGGACACCAAGGACCTTAGCCACACCATCAATCCTATTGAAGTGCACGCTCTCATATCTGCACTCCCACATATAAAATTGAACAAATAAGTTATACTCTTGAGTTTAGTTTATATATAATGTGTCTGAAGCAAAACATTTCATCATCTTATTAGTTGACTTTTGACACAATACACTCTACTATTGATTTCAATTTATAAAAAAATACAAAATCAGGAGAGAAACTTGTGAAATAAGTGCGACTCGTGAAAAGATGTTATTTTTCAGTACATTTTACCATTACAGAGATTGTGTTGTTAACATTTCTTTAGAGGTTAAAGACTGTAGCTTGCCTGAGTATAGCTGCCATCAGAAAGGTGAGGGCTGGAACAGAATTCTGCATAGCAGCAGCAAACGTAGGTGATGTTTTCTCCAAACCCAAGAGGTAGAATCCTTCTTTCATTGTTATTCTGCCAGAAAAAAAGTGGAGTTTTATAATTATGGCAAACATGTACGTTTTATTGATAAATGGAGTGGTTTCGTGAAGGATCGTACCCAACAAGTCCAAGTAGGAAAAAGTGTAGCACACAATAACTGGTTATTAATGGCCTGTCTTTCCTTGCAGAGAAGAAAACAGATGCAAAAAATGATAAAATAAAAGGTGAGATAGCTTAACTGGGGATAAGTAAAGGGTTTCTATATATTTACCATAGAGCTAAACTGCATACTTCTCTGAAAAATATGCGAGTGGACCCAGAAGAACCAAGGCAGTGATGTTTCTATAGACAGGGAAGATAAGCTTGCTTACTCCTGTATCAAGTGCAATTCTCAGAAATATATGATTTCCTGCATAACAAAATTGTAAAAACGTTAAGGCTATGTGCAGATTAGCTCGTTCGGGCATCATGTTTCTTAGTCTTTTTCTGTATTCAGAGTTGAATTGTTTACGAACTGATTGACCAAGGAAACCGGGGAAGAGGGGGAAGGATCTGTGTGTAAGTAGATCCGTAAAAAAATATATATATAAACCCCCTTTGCTTTTTTTTTTAATATTTAATAACATCTGAAATGAATTCATCAGATCGCTTGCTTGTATGTGATTTTTAATTATGATTTTATAATAAGAACGAAAAATATAGTAATGAAATAAAATAAATTCTATAAATTAAAAATTAGTAAGAAGAGTAGTTTTCGCATTTACAGATACTAATAACTTTTGAAATTCAATATCCTCCTCTTGTTTTTTCTATTAGATGATGTAATTTTCTTTTCGGTCATTTTGAATGCCTCTCTTCTTAATAATTTCTCCTCCCTTTTGGGAATAAGAAGTGAGCACAATCTTTTGGAAATAAGAACATGGTAGACAGAAGTTAATAACAACTTTGCTAAAATGGTCTTGTATACTAAATAACAGGACTAAGAACAAAAAGCATTTGTATAAGTTATTGGTGAGTATTTTCCTTTGTCTAAATATAACTCTCGAGTGTTTGGTAGGGTGAAATAAATGTAAATCCCCTAATATAAAGATTTTTCTACCTGAAACTACCATAATAATTCATAACATTTTTCTAACCAATTTATAATATAAAAAACTTTTACAATATATTGTTTCGAAAAATAGATTACATATTAATCGTGAAAATAGTAGATAATTATGTAGGATAATTTTTTTAATTTCATAATAATTAGCTTAAAAACTACATCAATGATAATATTTTATTACTCGTTGAAAATAATGATATTATATAGATAGATAGATGCTGATTAAACTAATATTATTTGTTCAAAATTAAAGAATAACATTGAAATATGTTATAATTTTCTCCACTTTGTTTAACCTTCTTTAAAAATGAAAACCCTATTTTAAAAGAAAAAAAAAGAAATAATAATTATTTTCACTGGTTTTCAGCCATAGAAGACCTAACACGAGAGTTTACAGTGAAGCGGTGGGCGTACGTTGAATGTTTAGGAGAGGGAGAGGAAAAGGAAAAGGAAGAGGAGACATCAGCTGAATTGCACACGCAAGCCATGAGGAAGCGGGATTTGGCCATTCTTATGCTCTCCGCTTTCGCTATTTTCTTCACTCTCCAGGTACCCTTTACATTTCCCCTGTTCTCCAACATTCTCTCGCTCCAAAACCCTAATTTGATCATTCAATATCGACCGGTCCAATTTCATTTTTGTATTTTAATTTTATCGCTGTTTAGCAAGATGGCGGTATTTCATTCAAAGACGCGTGGATGCATCTAACCGATGAGTATCCAATCAAATACGAAGCCGAACGTCTTCCGCCGCCGATCGTCGCTGATCTCAACGGAGACGGTAAGAAGGAAATTCTTGTAGCTACTCACGACGCCAAAATTCAGGTACCTTCGCTTTAGAATCTGTTTCCACTTCTTGATCGGTCTTAATTTCCGTCCACTTGTAATTTTTCATGCTTGTTTAGGCATCCTTCGCACTTCTAGTGTCAATGTGTGTATGCATATCACAAAAAATTTATAGTTTTTACTTTATTGTTGGTTTTGCTTGGTAATAACTTTGTTCCGGCTGGTACTACTAGTATTGGTAATTTGACTGTGTAATTATGTTGGGGGTCTCAGATTTTGGAGCCCCATAGTAGGCGTGTCGATGAAGGATTCAGTGAGGCGCGAGTGTTGGCCGAGGTATCTTTGTTGCCTGACAAAGTACGTGTCATGTCTGGGAGAAGGCCTGTTGCTATGGCCACCGGCTATATTGACCGGTATAAAATTGGGCAGCCACAGAAACAGGTTTTGGTTGTTGTAACATCAGGTTGGTCCGTCATGTGTTTTGAATCCAACCTCCAAAAGTTGTGGGAAAATAATTTACAGGTATAATGTTTTGGTTGTGCTGTTATCTTGTTATTACACTATGTTGGGTTTTACTAATTCCTTTAGTGGTTGTTATAGGAGGATTTTCCACACAATGCTCACCATAGGGAAGTTGCTATCTCTATAAGCAATTATACGCTGAAGCATGGAGATACAGGATTGGTAATTGTTGGTGGCAGGATGGAAATGCAGCCACACGTATGTGTCGCTTTGCTCATTGTTTCCTGGTTTATTATTATATTTTCCTACTATGCCCGTTTCTGTGAAGTAATAGTAACACTTGCCATATATTGGGGATGGTGTTTATCGTCCTTTTTGAAAAGTAAAGACTATTAGCAGCTTATGAGTAACATAAGGTTGTGGCCATCTCCTTGTTTTCTTTTACACTCTGCAAGGGCAAATGAGAAAGTTTCTATGCGATTTGTTTGATGAAACATGACAATAATGTATCTTTTGCGTTACTTGAATTTCAGAAATTTATATTTGTTATATGATTCTGATAATTGTAATGTTTTTGGATTCATACATCTCTAATTTATCTTCAGAATTATATTTTAATCCAAACTTGATTCTTTGCTAAAATTGGTAAGTTGGTCTTTTTGCTGTTAATTTGTGAATCAATTGTTTCGACCTAGTTATTGACTGTTTTCTACTTTTAGATTTTTATGGATCCTTTTGAAGAAATGGGGATGGGAGCCAGATTTTCTGAGCAACAACGAAGAAGTACTACTGAAAAGGAGGTATAGACACGTTGCTAATGGATGCTAAAATTTGTGCCTGTTTTGTTTTACCACCTTGTAGCATACTAAAATATATTGACAAAATACCCTAATGTAGTTGTAGTGCTTAAAATTTCACTAAGGCTTGATATAATTAAGCCAATAAACACTATGTATTTTGCAGCAAGTAGCGTAAGAATCTGGACCTTCATAATAAGGCAGCTAAATAGTAGACAGTTTTAGGTGTCTTTATGTATAAACTTACCCATAAGTTCTTATAGGAGAAGAAAATAAGAAAAAATGAAATAACTACTCTGTAAGCTAAACTTAGTTTCTTACAAATATCATACCTTGTGTAGCTCATTTCAATTTCCATTCATATTTTCTTCTCCTATTGGCACTTATGGAGATGGTTTTCTTTAAATTTCTCATTCTTTCTGAAAATTGTTGGTTCACTTCTTTTCCTTGCCTTGGGTAGGGTTCTGAGAACTCTGGAACTGTGGATTTACGCCATTTTGCATTTTATGCATTTTCTGGGCGATCTGGTGTTGAACGATGGAGCAGAAAAAATGAGGTGATGTGCTTTATTCTTGGTCTTCTGTATGTTCTATTGTTGGGGTGTTGTCTTCATTCTAAATTCAAACTAAAATTTCATTGTGTAAGAATGCATATTTGCTCCTTTTATTTTCTTTGTTTGAAGGATACAATTTTCTCTCTTTAAATCCAGTAAGTGCACTTTCTAATTTCTTCCTGTCTGTTTTATCTTTCAAAGTTTATCTAGGTGGTTGCAATTCAGGAGGAAACATGAAAACTGAAGAAAACTTATGATTAAAGTAAATATATATATATATATATATATATATATATATTAGGTATAGTCTGTTGTCAATAAACTATACCTTTGTAGAAGTATGCTAAAGTTATGCTGTTAGCACATGTACTAGCACTTTAATCCACTGGTGCACAATTGTATATTTTCCCAAACATACCCATGAAAGAAATGGAATCACCTCCCAACAAGCACCAAGTCTTGTTTTTTTTTACACCAGATATTAGATGTTTAACAACCAAGTGAACTGACATCATGGTTAAGTCTGATTGAATGTGTTATTTATGCTAATCTGACATTAAACAATAACTACAACTAAACCTTGGCTGCATGGATAAAGCAAAGTTAGTGTTCACTGATCTAAACATGTCTTTTGTTGAATACTCTTGTGTAGTGTTATCCTTTACTCTAATTTCTGGTATTGTTTTTTCATTTAGAACATTGAAGTGCATTCTTCAGATGCATCACAGTTACTTCCACAGCATAACTACAAGCTTGATGTTCATGCTCTGAATACCCGTCAACCTGGAGAGGTACTTACATTTTAGCTATTCATCTAAATCCTATGTCTATGGGTAAGCGGTATTAGTGAAATTTAATGGAATGATGTTACAAAATTATTGTACTTTATAACTTTTCAGCAGTCACCAGACGATATTTTGGGGAAAGCAATGGAATCATTTTTTTTCTTTTTCAAATGTATTGATTACTTAACCTAAAAATGTAGTTATTGATTTTACTATTATGCCCTTTTACTTATTCATTCCTTTCCTTTTCTCATTAATCCCCTAGAGTCAAAGTAAGTTCCAAACAAAAGGATAAGTAATACTATCCTTTCTCACACAAACCAAACAAAGGGTAGAAATACCGTCCTTTTTCATGCAAAACAATTCAAACATAAATGTTTAAAAGTGTTTCTGTGCTTATTAGTGTGTTCCTAACCTTCTATAGAGCGGAAACTATACTCCTTGTCATATATTCTTGTTATCCACCTTTTCTCTTGCAATGGTCAACCATTAAAGCAAATATTTGATTGCTTGTGTATAAGTTTTACCAGAAGAACTCCCGTCTCCTGCATTATGTGTGGAAACACCAACAGATGCACATACATAGTGGATTATCTCGTTTAATTTTAATGTTATTAAGAAATATTTGTTTTTTAATTATAGATATCCCCCTAAAAGTTGCTTTCTGTGACATGTGAGATTCTAGTTTGAATGCAGGGAATTCAGAGAATCAATCCTGGGAGTTATGCCTCATCGTTGGGTACAGTATATTTGACAACCTTGATTAACCTTCTATAACAAATTTAATCTCAAATACCGTCCATTCTTGACATTATATAAATGTATTTCAGGCTAGGAGAGAAGATACTTTATTGAAGCTTGCGCACTTCAGACGGCACAAGAGAAAAACATTGAAGAGAACACCTGGAAAGTCAATGAGTTACCCTTTTCACAAGCCTGAGGAAAACCATCCTCCAGGGAAGGATTCAACCAAAAAAATTTCAAACATAATTGGGAAAGCAGCAAATTATGCTGGTTCAGCAAAATCTAAGAAGGTTATATGCTAACCATCTCATGCAACTGCTAACAAAGCTGGTCATATTTGATAATTCGTATTGGAATTCTTTCAATTGTATTGGAAAAATGATAATTAGGATTTAAATTTGAATTGGTATACATTTCCGTTGTCTATTGGTTCTAAACTATTTAGGTGCAAAGGCCAGAGTAGTAGTAGATCACTAATGTTGTAAAATATAACGTGGCTAAATTTGATATTCCTGATTAGGGGTTTGTTATGAAGAAGTAATCTCTTTGCATCGTATTCTTTTAGTTTTCATGTTATTTCCTAATATGAGATTGGTTTTCTAACAAATTAAATTGACAACATTTTATGATGCTGAGATAATCAACATTTTGATAGAAAAGGGTAAAGAATTTGCAGTCTTGATGTTTCTCTCTTGGATTGCAGTACCTTCCCTATGTTCCGACCATAACCAACCACACTCAGGTTTGGTGGGTTCCAAATGTTGTTGTGGCTCACCAGAAGGAGGGAATAGAAGCTCTTCACCTGGCATCTGGTCGAACAATATGCAAGGTATACTTAACCTTTAGTCAACTTAAACGTATTGCTTTACCATGCATTCCTTGATTAGGTTACAAGATAATTTACCTAAATAGTCTATTGAGGCCATTGAAGACTTCAAGTAGTTGTAAAGCCGAATCTTCTGAAACTATTTTCAGCTTATGGAACACATTGATTTCTTAGTCAAATAAAATTTTATCCTGTGGTTGTGTACTAATCATGCAAAATTGGTGTTAGCTCCGTCATGTAATTCGTAAACATTTTCATGTCCAGTGTAATGACAAATTTGTTTATTTCAGCTTCATCTTCAGGAAGGTGGTTTGCATGCTGATATTAATGGTGATGGAGTTCTAGATCATGTGCAGGTTCGTGTTTTTTCCCTTTCTAATTATAAAGTTGAGCTAGGCTATATTAATTTAGCCTGAGATCAAATGGAGGATGTTCTTCTGCCTGAGGTCTGGAACATTCATCTTATCAGGCTGTTGGAGGAAATGGTGCTGAGCAGACTGTAGCTAGTGGGTCTATGGAAGTGCTACGTCCTTGTTGGGCTGTTGCAACATCTGGTGTACCAGTACGGGAACAACTCTTTAACGTATCTATTTGTCATTATACCCATTTTAACTTATTCCAACATGGAGAACTTTATAGAAGCTACAGTCAAGGTTCAGATATTACCTCTTTAGAGGTAGCAACGCCTATTCTAATTCCTCGAAGTGACGGTCATAGGCATAGGAAGGGAAGCCATGGCGACGTTATCTTCTTGACAAATCGTGGCGAGGTACAACATTTGTTCAACTATTTTTTGAGCACCAATACTGTTTCTTTTATTTCGTTTATCAAAGTGTTTCCAGTGACAAATAATTTAGATTTTGTTTTTTTGAGATATAACATAATTGGGAATTACTTCTCTAAAAGAAACGTTTACACTGGATCTTATGAAATATGGAATTTTGGGATTAAATTGCATGCGACCATATGAAATAATGATCTTTCGGAATGCGGGAGAAGCTTTTTCTAGTACTTGAATAGATTCTAATGTAAACTTGCCATTTGTTGACACTGATATTGGTGACCTGGAAAAAATTTATTCTTGCAGATTACATCATATTCCCCTGGTTTGCATGGTCATGATGCTATTTGGCAGTGGCAACAATCAACTGGTGTTACATGGTCAAATCTGCCTTCCCCATCAGGAATGATGGAAGGTGGTATGGTGATTCCCACGCTAAAGCCTCTTTCCTTGCGGTTGCATGATAATCAGGAAATGATCCTTGCAGCAGGGGAACAGGAAGCCGTGATAATATCACCGGGAGGAAGTATATTGGCTACAATTGAACTACCTGCTCCACCAACACACGTTTTGATCTGTGAGGACTTTTCAAATGATGGGCTCACTGACCTTATTCTTGTCACCGCTAATGGAGTTTACGGCTTTGTTCAGACCAGGCAACCGGGTGCTCTCTTCTTCAGCATGCTGGTTGGTTGTCTCATAGTCGTGATGGGGGTTATATTCGTCACTCAGCACTTGAATTCCACGAAGGGGAAGCCTCGTCCCTCAGCCGGTCCTCGGTGAAAAGCTGGAACTGAAATTTATACTAGCCTAACTTGACGCTATCGAAGAAACAGATCAGAGTGAGGTGTTCGCAATCAGTGGAGAGTCTGAGTATTCAAAATGTGTAGAGCCTGCGGAAATCCTTAGGAGGTGGTGCCGAACGGTCCTAGACTGTTGATTGTAAAATGTGGACAGAATGTAGGAAATTTGATGTTATAATATTATATTATAAGGAAATTTACACTGTCTGCTTCTGGGATTTTTGACCTGCTGTTCTGAGCAAATTTATATTGTACACACTTGTTACCTGTTCAGAATTAGTTGATGCACTATAGAAAACTCACATGACGGTCTTCCTAATTCTTCCCAAGGATTTCTTGCTTTTTAAGGGAGGTATTTAATTCCACCGCACAAAATTCCTCTTCATTTGGAGCCATCTTCTTTTATGAATAAATCTGCATGGGACTAAGATGTTACGCAATTCTTGAAAGTGAGTTAAGAATTTATCATGATTTTAACTAAAAAATGATAGTGGTAGCTTTTTTTGGTTATTATGAGTGAACTAACATGCTTTACCCAGTGAAAATGAAGAAAAGGTTTAGAAAGAGAAATCAGTTTCTAGTATCCAACACCTTCATACTTTATCACTGCTGCTTTTGGCGAAGGGAAGCAGAGACGTGCGCTGCTATTTTCAAGTTATGCCTGCTAGATCACCTTGGGGAATTTAATAATTTATTTGAAAGAAGCCTCGTCCCCAAGTTTCTCTGAAAGAATTTTTATTTAACTGATTATGTGCTTTTGTTTCAAAATTCAATTCAGTCGCCAAAGAATTGAGTTCTTTCATTATACTTATTAAGGTTTTATTTCTTAGTATTTAAAATGCATTTCTAAAAGATAGAACTAATCATACCTAAATTAACGTTAGGAATAAGAAAAAATGATTTTTTTTATGGGAATGGATCCTGTACTATATATAAAGATCATTTTTTTGTATGTTTGATTTGAAAAATAATTAAATAAAACCACACAAGTCTAAAATATGACAGGTTTAAATACTGTTAATTAACAAACCTAAGACAGTTTTTTTTTCCACAACTAATATTACCAAAATATTAATAATATTAAGATACTAGGATTAGGTTAGGTGCAAAAGGTTTGAGCAATTTACATCTAGTCATAGGTCTAAACGTAATTATCACCTATATATTAAAACTATTCATCAATTTAGCTGAACTCTAGGGATAATGGCATCATCTTCATGTCAACCAAACAGTAGGTAATAGAACAAAAAGTTGTAATATGACTCAGTTTCTTATTTCTTATACGTGGAAGAATACCTTTGATAAAAACAAAAAATTCTACCTATTCTTGTTACAAAACATTGTAATTATTAATTGGAGTACATATTAAAATTACTTCTTAAATTTTTAAGGTGTTAGTATATTTGATTTTTATTTAATTTTTTTCAATTAAATATGTAAAATGTTTTCTAGAAAAGTGTAGCATTGATCATCTTAGAAGAAATGATTTGTACTCTATCTAGCTAATTACATTCCAACTGTTTCTAGCACCAACCTTTGTGTTGACTCGTACTGAAAGCCAAGTATTACAATTATCTGTCTCCTCTCACTTTATGTTTAGTTATCATTCTGATTTTATTTATTTCACATTATTTACTGACACTTTTGTAGAGAGAAGGCTGCGACTCCTGAGCCAAACTTCAGTTTATCAGCAAAAAGCAATTGCCAAAAGTAGACACCTTCCTTCTCTTATTCGCATCTTAGACACAGTGGTTAAATTGATACGTTTTAAATAAAAAATTATTTTATTTTGTATGTCTTTAACTTCAAAAATATGAATTAAAATATATTTTAATAAAATTTCTTCAATCTATTTATAGCATATAAAATTATATACATATGTACTCCTAATTAGAAGATATAAAACTATATAAATATGTATCTAATTAAATTATTAAAAAATTATAATATTTTATAATTATATCAATCTTAATCTAATAATATACAATTTATATAATAATATTTTTAAAATGTAAAGAAAGTAAATTTAATAATTAATTATAATTTTTTATTACATGTTTAAAAAATCAACTTGTGAAAAAAAATATGAATGCCGTGAAAACTATTTTCTATATCTTTTGCTTCTGATTTCGAAATGTAGGTGCTTTTAATTGTTTCTTTCTCTGTCTATCATTGGATGGGATGTTTACATAAATGCAGATCATTCTTAATAAAAAATCATGAAAATTGAAATTTTGCATACATAATTTTTTTTAATAGAACTTTGTTAGACTTATTTTTCATTTCACTATATATTTTCTCGTAATATAATATAATATTTAAAATAAATTATTATATTACTAAAATAATAATAAAATAAAGAATATATGTTTACTTTTTATTTTTTAAATATATATATATATATATACACACACACGAGTGATATAAATTTATTTAAAAAAAAATTATCAAATTTTGTATCGTTATTTTTTAATGATATAATAATTTAAAATAATAATTTATTTTAATTATTAAATAAAATAATAATAATAATAGGAGAAACTTATTTGAGTTTCTTAGTTCCAATAAAAGCTATATTCACTTTAAGAATTCATTACATCACTTTGTTCAATAAAAAAAAATACCAATAAACTTAAAGAAACTTCAACAAATTCAAATTATATTTGAAGCAATCATATTACAAATAAATGTTTTTCTAAATAATATACTACTAAAAATTGTTTTTTTTTATCATGATTTGAAGATTACAAATTAAATAATATAAAAAATAAATCCATTAGTAAAAGTTAAAATCGCTAGACTATCCCATGAACCTACTTGGACAAACTTTCTAAAAATACTGCTAAAAAACAAATAAATAATAAACTAATTTTTTATAAACTAAAATTAATTTGTATATAAATCAAATATAAGAATTATATGAGAGTTTTTACAAATTATTTAAACTAATTTTATGTATAAACTAAATTTAAGACATCTTTGCACTAACCTCTTGTCACTAATTGAGAATAAACTCACATAACTCTTTCCTTACACAATCTTTTCCTACACAACTTACAATATATTGGTTCTGTAAGTTAACATCATAATCAAGAAGCATTTGATCATTAAATAATAAGTTAATATGATAATATATAATAACGAGTAAGATTTTATCACCCTTTACATAGAAATAGAAATTTAAGTATAAAAGTTAAAACCTAATGAGGTTTTAAAACTTTACACTACTACAAATATCACATTTTATGTCGATCTGGAAGGTTTTCCACGTCGATTGATAAAGCGATGTAGAAAGTCGACTTTCTACATCGGTTATAAGAAGAACCGATGTAGAAAGTTTGAATTTTTTATTTTTTTATAATCCCTTTTTATTTATTTAGTTTTATTTATTTATAATACCCTCTATCTTCCTTTATTTATCTAGAGGTCCTTCTTCCCTTTATATTATATTGTTTTAAGAAAATTCTCATTTGGTTTTCCATGTCGGTTGGTGAGCCGATGTAGACAGATCGACTTTCTACGTAGAAATTTTGAATTTTTTATTTTTTTATAATCCCTTTTTTATTTATTTATAATACCCGTTATCATCCTTTATGTATCTAGAGGTCTCCCTCCCCTTTATATTATATTTTTATTATTTATTATATTGTTTTAAGAAAATTGTCACTGACGGGATTCGAACTCAATACTTTAGAGTTGGAGGTCGATACTCCAATCACTAAACTACTAGGATTTTCTAATAATAACTTAGAAATAAATTATATTTATATACAAATAATGTATATACGTGTAAATATATAAATGTAAAATATATAAATACAAATATATTTATATATTTTGATATATTTATATAGTTATATATTTATATGTTCGATGTGAGGGCGCGCTCGAGGGTGAAAGTGTGTGTCGAGTGGATCTTCAAAATTTGATACCAAATTTAATCTAATTAATAGAAAACAAATTTCCTTACATAGATTATTATAAATTTAATCAAAATCATCTTTTAATAATTATTTTTTCCAGACATAGATTAATTTATTAAATAAAATAATTTTAAAAATAAATATTTAATTATTTTTAATATTTGAAAAAATTATTTTAATATAAGAATTTCAATTAAATAATACAAGAAAAAATATAAAAAGAATAAAATAAAATAAATAAATAAAAAATTTATTTTATATCATTATATAAATAAATTATAAATATTATATTTTATCATTAAATTACAAACTCATATAAAGAAATTCGCTCACAAATTTGACATCAAATTTTGAAAACTCACTCCACACACTTTCACCATCGAACGCATTCTCACATTCAACATATAAATATGTAAATATATAACTATATAAATATATAATTATATCAAAATATATAAATATAAAAATATATTTTATTTATATATTTACACGGATATACATTTATTTGTATATAAATATAATTTATTTATAAATTATTATTAAAAAATCTTAGGAGCTTAGTGATTGGAGTATCCTTTCTACCATTAATGTAATGGGTTTGAATCCTGACAGTGATAATTGTTTTAATTTGATATTATTTCAACTTTCAACGTCGATTGACTCAAACTCGACGTTGAATGTGTCAAAATTTAACTTTTAATGTCGGTTGACTCAAAATTGACGTTGAAAGTGTATTCAATGTCGACTCAGCTTTAACCGACGTTAAATGGCGACGTGGAAAACATATTTTATGGTAATATTAGGATGTAAGGGGTGACACAAACATGTGAATATAGCTAATTCAATCAAATTCATTAACAATTTCACATGTTATTTTAAGTTAGTGAATGTTAAGAGGTGTTAAAAATATACTGATCTAATATAATAATAAAAAATTGATTAAAAAAATAATTTTTTTTATATTTTTTGTATATATTTTTTTCTTAAAAATAACTTCAAAACAGTTATTAAATTGAAATATAATATTATATATTTGAAACAATTAATAACTAGCACATATATATATATATATATATATATATATATATATTCAATATTATTTTATAATTTTACTTATTTTATTTATAATATATTTATACTTATCAAAATATTATAATAAATTTTCATTATAAAATTTTTAATTAGAAAAATATACAATTTATTTATGATTTTGAGATAATATTAAAATTATAAATATAACAAAATTTATATAAACAAAATAACTTGGATTTTTTTTGTTAAATTTTTACTAGAAATTAAATACTAATTTATAAAAAGAATTTAAAATTTTTATAATAAAAATTTGTAAAAATCATTCAAATAAACCATAAAAATATATTTTTTATATACATTGTATTAATTTAAAATTAATTATATTTAATTTTTATATTTTCTGTAAGGGATTATTTAATAAAAAATTAATTAAAAGGCACCCTTTGCAAGTGTGTTAGATTTCATTCAAAGTGTGTTTTCTTACATATATTTTTAGTTCTATACTTTTTAAGTTAATAATTTTTGGAAATTTATGTTTTATTATTTTTTATATTTAAATTTAATACTGAGTTATGATTATTCATCTTAAAAGAGCTGATAAAAGCACTAAATGTAATTTGAATATTTTTTAAAATTTAATACTTAGTAATATCTTTTTACTGTTATAAAGTTGATTAAAAAGATTAAATTAATAATTCCTTTTTTAGTTTGAAAACTAATTATTGAGTAATTTTCTTCTTCCTCTCTAATTATTGAATAACACTATTATTTAAAAGGGAATCTAACAGTTAAAAGGTTGAAAATATGTGTATAAAATTCCAATTGGTAATATTTGATGAATGAAGAGATAGGTTTTTAGTCCCTCACAGCACCACCAAAATGTTAAAACTATGCGTCAACAAATCCAAACACTATCAATGCCAATCCACCGCAAAATAAATGCAGAACAAGAGTTAAATGAGGTAGGTACTTGTGTTGTGTTGTATGTTCTATCCTATATCCATCAAATGCACACACACTAACAACAACTCTGCAGAACATGACAACACATTCGACTGATCAAAGCAACCACTGCACACAATTCATCACTTACGTACTCTATTTCGACCTCTGTCGCTATTCCTTTGTAACGACAACACATGCTTCACTTGAGATTTTCTTAGTCTGAGGGACGCCCACATCTCTCACTAACAATACATACACAAGCATTTTGAAGAAGAAGAAGAAGAAAGAGCTGCATGAGTCATCCCTAACCAACCAGCACACGTCTTGGTGGGACCACCAAAACTGCTATGGCACAGTGCTGAGACCACCATTCCATTATGGTGGACACAGTAGGCTCCTATGCCTCTGGCTCACCCTATGGTACTGCCATGCTGCCGCTAAAGCAGTACGAAAATATAACCCACCCATTATTCTGCAAGAAGCCCTAGTGTTCATTAGATTTGGGTGCTTTGGTCCTGCTTTACAAATAAATCTGTTCAAATCAGACTTCCAATTGCTTACACCTACCTCCCTCAGACGCCTTACTTCAATTATACTACAATTATTATGGACACGTGAACTGTGTAGTCTATTTCAAACTGCTCAATGCCAGTAGTGTGTGGCATCTGTTTCCACAACCTTTTGACCATTTCACTCAATATATACTTCTGGAAAACCAGCATTCATAGCAGCAGTACACAACACCATAAACCACTCAGGCCTACAACCAAGCTCAGCTTTAGCTTAAAAGCTCCTTGTCACAACAACGGCGAACTGTTTTCATTAGAGTTTCCAAACGCTGGGGCTAGATCAAAGGCTAGCTACGAAATCAAGGTGTGTATATCCTACAATTTCCTCAAATGTCAGTTTTAATAGTTTTTCCTTTATATGTATGTAAACTAACATTTATGATGCTTGTATGATAGAAAGAACCTTTTATATGCACGAAAGAATCAGGCCGAAAACGCAATATATATATATCAAAAGATAGAACTAGGCTTTGGGCTTATTTTGAATAGAGCTGAATATGCTAGGGTTAAACCAAAGGCTACGAAATTAAAATAATTTGTTAATCAAAGCAATGGATACAGTTGAATTGAAATATAGACCCCAAGATTCATCAATGAACCCATTCGAGTTTATTCCCTTGCTAGTTGGCACTGGCAAAGTCCACTATGCAATTGTTCTCTTTATTGCATGAAAAAGAATACGAATCCAAGAAAGAAGCAAAAATTTAAAGCGGGAGATCATAGAGATCAGCTCGCCACTATCAATCACGTCCGTGGCAATAGGCGAAGTCGTATGAGTATTTTACAAATACAACAATCCACAAATTCTTATTTCTTCGGCCTTCATTTTGTGCCCAAAACATCATTTAAATTACAGACCTGCCCCACATGATATCATACAATTAGCGCTTGTGATTTTAGTTATCTCGTTATCAAAAAACTCTCAACAACAAACACCAGTAAAATCCAATTGAACGTGCTTTTCTACTGCTCAATACACCGTTTGTGTTTAACTTGTACTTATTTCACTTATTACACACAATAATAAATACATTAGTTGTGAACATCCCTAATCCTGGACTTGAGAGGATTCATTCGTACAATAACATGGAACTCAGGAAGTCTCACTACATTACATTGGTGAATGTGGACACCGATGTCAATAGGGGTGTCATTTTTACCCTCTTTGTTTGATTATAAATATCGTACTCAAAACACGTACTTTCCAATGAAGCAGGACAAACCAAAATATCTACAAGATGATTGAGGAAGTGACTAATGAGCCATCCGCAACCGAAACTGGAGATTGAACTTTCGGAGAAGTTCGTATGAGGTAACTGTAACTACACTATTTCAGGCCGAATATGCATTTTACTTGTATACATGTGGTTACATCTGATTGCGATCAAGAATTTAATTCCACATGGTAGCTGGCATAGCATGTATTTACATTAAGGAATGGCGTCAAACACAAGTTCATATAGAACAATTTAATTGGTATAAAGACCATGTGAAACCCACAGTACAAAGAAGTGAGATTCTACATTAAATTTTTCTTGAAGGATACAAGAGTTTTTTTATACTCTAACTACTAAATCAAATAGTAAATTGCATTCATATCATTTAGGTCAAAAATGTTTTTATGACAACGTTGTATTTCCAACACTGCCCTTCAAAACAACCTAATGTGACAGTAATGTATTTTTGATATCTGTACTACTAGGTATGATAAAAACTTGAGAGACAGATAGTTTCCTTGGCTCAGCGTATATTACACAGATGACATAAAAATAATTCCACAACGCAAAGTACATACAACTAAAAGTTCTGACAATCCCGTGAACCTTGACCTACCAAACAAGAAAATTAAAACTCAAGGGCACAACCTCTTCAAGAAGAGAGAATTTCAGCATTAAGGCTTAGATTTTGAACACTTAATATAATCTCCAAACGTCATACAAAACCCAGGAAGACTAACCATTACGGCCAATGAAGTGTCAAGTCCCCGAGATATTAAACTTATAAACCATAAGTAGTCAAATCCAAACAGAAAAGCTTTTCAGAAACCAGAGACAAACTAAAAGAATCAGAATGATCAGAAATATGTCAGTTAGATTCCAATAATACCTTCATGCATTATTCCTTATAGATGACTTTATAACAACCGATGCATCTATTATCATTGTCCACATTAATGATTCATTTGTTCAAAAGTAATTATGTTTCCATGTCTTCTACATTATAGACAAAATTTTATAATAAGTTACTAATATATGACAAATTTGTAAAAAAAATCCATTACTTAGGTGAATACTGCAGAGGCGATAGAAATATTTATATAGAGACAGGAAAAATGTTGCAAATGATCATTGCCTATGTTAGATATACTTATATGATTCGGAGTAGTAAATGTGAAACCTACGTAACGCAAAATCATGTCATATGGAATGCTCGTTATTTTCATCAAATCGATGTAAAACATTCCGTTGAAAAAAAAAATTATTAGAATAAAGGCTTGCTTTAATGCCTTTCCAAGAATAACTTGCTATAGGAAAAGAAAAGTTCTTTAAAAACATAAAATAAAATGAATAATAAAGAAATGCAAGTTAGTATTGCATCAATCCTCAAGTTTTTCCACCTTATCCCGCTTGGGTCAAATATTACAATAAAAAACACATTGAACAAAATTGAACATTATATAAAATAAGGGTATATTGAATGGTTCAAAACATTACAAAAAGTTGACTATCTATGCTAGGTAGTTATTATCTACGGGTTATGTCGTTGTATCTATAAAATGTAGTATAAGTAATAATAACATATTAGCACACATCTCATGGAAAAACTGAATTGCATGATGGTGATCAGAGAGTACAGGGGTTGCCAGTCATGAGATGGAGACCATGTTGCATCACAAGTTTTTCGAATCATACTGACATCTTAACTTTCATTCTGTTTTGCTTATTTTAGTGGTTTTGGATCAAGCAACATTTTGTATTATACCATAAGCTATACTCATTAGCCACAAAATGGAGTGTTCTCCTATATACGTATAGTTTGCTGCATGTGCATTAAATATGAGCATATTGATTAGCAATATTTCCTCTTTAGTAATCAACGTCACATCTATGCAAATTTAGATTGAGTAAGATGTTAAAAATACAGCATCGCATGGGAAGGAGGGAGAGAAATCTTTCACCTTTTAAACTTGAATGCTCATGCATGGTTGGAACGCCCATACCGAAAAATGAAAAATTAATTTTAAAAGAAAAGATAAGAAATCGTCGCGGAGAATTAGTCCAAATGAAGATCAAACTGTGTTTCCACTTCAATTTCAAAACGGATAAACAGAAATAAAGCAGCTTCGAAATTGAAAACAAACCAGACAGCGTGATATAATTCAACAAAAGGCAAGAACCAACCCCTAAAAACATCATAAAAAAACGAAGACGCGGACTACCCAATATTAGAACCAGGTCCATTAAAATCGTACAGAGAAATAAACAAATAAAACAGCATTAGCTATCTAATTATATATACTAAATTACCACGAAAAAAAACAAGAATGATATATTTCAGACCAATTAAGCATTGATAATTTGCATTTGCATAAAAACCAAACACCGAGTACGTCTGCATTTTCTCTTGTTCTCTTTCTTTCTTTCTTTCTTTCTTTTTTCATTCTCTCCTACTTGAATGAGTATCAATTGGGACTACAAGATGATCATAAAATAGTGGAAAGACAAAGCTGGCGTGAGAAGATGCAGTAAATTAAAACATAAAAAACAATAAAATTTCTGTTTGTTTGCTTTGTTTTGGCGTTTGTTTGTTCAAGATCGTGGGTGAGGGAAGAATTGCGTACCGCTACCAGGCATGAAAGTGTTAAGAGGAGCTGGATACAAGGAAGAAGATGGATCAAGGAGTGGCTCAGAGACAACGGCACCAGTAGTGAGGTTCAACCCTCCAACACCAGTGGAAGAGCTTTCACCAGCACCACCGGCGTAACTACTGTTACCTTCTGGACCATAGTCATATAAAATCCCTTTGAACATATGTCCTCCAATGTTCACAGCAGTTGAGTATGCATATTCGTCCTCCGCGTCATCCATGGAGCTCACACGTACGCACCTGAATTCTGCAGAAGATCTCACCACAGCCGGAAAATTCACCTCCTCTAACCCTTTTATTATAGGGTAACATGTTTAGAGAGAGAAAGTAGAAACAAACAAAACAAGAATGAGTTAGATGCACATCAGAAGATGAATTATGTTTGTAAGAGTTAACAATGAAAATAGAATCTAAACAAAGATACTGAGACAAATACATATGATGAAAGAGTGAAGGTGAAAATGAATGTTAGTGTTGTGTTGGTATGCGCCAGTGAGCGTTGGCAAAGAAAGAAGTACAGTCAGTCACGCAGAGTAAGAGAGTAAGAGAGAGAGTGAGAACAGGTTCTTCTTCACTGTCAATCTAATCGTCAGGTCAGGGCTACTAAAACAACAGTGTTTCGGTAAAGAAAAAGGCGAGAAAAGGAGAAATTTTGCCTCACACACGCAATCGATACCGTCCTTGTTTGGATGTATGCTTCCAAAACTTTCTCAGTCACTCCATATCTTTTCAGAGAATTTACTGGACGGGTCTCTCCATTATTCTTTTCTTTCAGACACACATACACGTTTCCTTCTTTTGCTTTATTTTTCTTTCCCTCTCTCAAGAGTCAATCACACAAACTGTGAGGTGCTTGTGGTGGCGCATGTAGAGTGTGACAAGACAAGACGAAGTAAATAAAATATGATGAAGAAGATGTATTGAGTAAGTATAGACTATAGTAATATATAGTATATACCTGAGGAGGAGGGGTTCGAAGGTAAACGAGTGCAGGCAAGAGGAGAAGAGGAGGTGGGGTTATTATGATCTCTATCTCTCTGCCTTTTGGGAAGGTCTCCAGAAGTTTCCATGTTTTGTTGCAGGGTGGAGAGTTGATGCTGTCTCTCACGACGGCGTGAAGCAGGTACCCAAGTACTCTTGACATGAGTTTGGCAATCGAAGCCACGGCTCTTGCAGCATGTCCTGCACCGCATGTGAGGGCAATCCTTCTTCGCTTGGTTTCCGCAGTCCTGACAGCTAATTCCACCGCTTCCACTCCCACTTCCTCCCAGCATGAAGCCGGATCTCGATGACGACTGATCATCAGAGATAGGCCTGCTGGGCCCAACCCCCAAGGCGGAGTAGAGATCTTGGTGAAAGAGAGGACGCGGTTGTGGAGGGCCCTGACCCATGAGTTGTTGTTGGTGTTGTAACTGCTGCTGGTTCCATAGCTCAAAGCCACCACCTCGGTGATAAGAGGAAACATCTTCATTCTTGTTGTTGTTATACCAGTATAAGGTATCAGGAGGAGGAGGAGTAATTTCCTCTTGGCTGTTGGTGTTCCCTCTACCTCCTCCTAGTGAGAATAAACCCGCCATTCTTTTGCCTCCTCTACTGATTCTGTCCTTCGAAAATCCATATCAAGAACAATACCTTGATAGCCAACCAATCAACTCGCTCTCTACACACAATTATAAATATAAATAATTAATATTAATAACTAATAATTAATTACTAAAATACTCCAATCCACGACAACTGCTTCAATTAATTTCCCTGCGTGTTCAATTTGGGAGAGAGAAGGTGTGAGAGAGACCACTACTCAACAACTAGGGATTTCTTTTTTTTCTTTTTTTTGCAGTTAAAAGATCTTTGGTTTTTTGTGTGCTTTGTGGTGTCACTCCCTTTGTTTTTCTGGGTATGGTAAAGTTGTAGAAGTAGTAGTAATAGGTGTTGTGTGGTGGGTGGTTAAAGAGAGAATTGATTTGAAGGGTTGTTGGTTGAGGACAGTGGAGGAACAGTGTCGGGGGCAGCGTTAATCGCGCCCTCAACTCATTCTCCCTCGGCCACTGGCAAGGTGCATTAATAAATTAAAAGAGAAGCCACAATCACAAAAGCGCGATTTACAGCACTGCAAACGCCGCCATGCTCTTCTCTGCTGTGCTGTTCTGTGCTGCCCCTCTAATTTAAGTTTCCCGTCCCATTCTCCTTTTCCTTGTCTCTCTCTCTCTCTCTCTGATTGTTGGCCAGAGTTTGTGAGAGAGCTTTTTTTTTGTTCTGACCACTTCCCCTTTTGTGTCTGCGGCCAGTGGTGTGCTTAAGTTAGTAACTCAGCACCATCACAAAAACAAAACCACTTCACAGTAAGCAAGTTAGGAAGTAGTTCTTTCTTTCAATTTTATTGAAAACAAAAATTCTAATTCTATTGGAATGGATGTCATTCATCTCATCTCCACGGCCCATGCTACTTCCCATCCACATCCTACGTTCCCTATTATTCCACGTGTCACCTCAGACACCTTTCTGCGCCCTCGTCCTTTTCTACCGGAAAACCCGCTGCTTTTCGTGACATATTGTCCCTTTTATCTTCCTTAATTTCTTGTGTTATTATTCTTTTCATTTCTATTCAAATTCGTCTTTCCCCTCTCCCCATCCATTTCTATTTATTATTGTTGCCAGTAATTCCGTAGATAATACTATCCCTACACGTTAAACTGAAATATTAAAGTATTGGTTTATTTTAATTAGGGTTTTTCTATGATGTAGATGGGTGTACAGGTTCAGTATGAATTCTAGTATTTTTCTAATTAACTAATTATTCACTCTTAATTTTGGAAAAATAATAATATGTTATTGTTAGTTATGATTAATATTAGTATTTTTGTTATTGATAATGATAATTTTATATTATAATCTCTTTCATCTAACAAATTTATATGGTATTAAGCTCAACTTCTTGGAATATATTTCAAAAGACTTGTGACTTAAAAAAGTGAAAATTAACTATCTTAAAGTCTTCTTCAAGAAGTATTGAATGTTCTTGATTGAAAAATAAAACAACTTTAAAAGTAACTAATTTAAAGATTCTTTTTAAGACTTTAAAAAATATTTTTTTTCGATTTAAACATATATTTCAAATTAAATATTAGTTAATAAAATATTTTAAAAAAGTATTATGAAAAGGAGATAAATGAATTTTAAAAAACTAGTATATATAATTTTTATGCCAAATGTTATTAAAAATATAATTAAATTTGTAAATATTGTACCAATTTTATCAACCAGACTTATATTTTATTTAACTTATAAACTGACCTTTCTATAACTAACAAAAAAGAAAATAACATTCATCACAATTAATGAAAGTAAGTTAATTTTGGTTCAAAAAGTCAAAATGAAACAAGTAGTTAATATTTAAAAGAGATAATAATTAATACTTAATCCATAGATGTTTTGGGATGAAAAAGAAAACAGTGTAGAATTAAGTAGGGGCAGTATAAAAGTATGTATAGGAAGGAGTATTGAAATAGAATAAACATTGGGGTGAGGAGAGATTTTTGGCATTTCCCTAACGGATGGTTTGGTTTTCCTATGGCAATGAATGAATAAACTTTGGTGTAAATAGTTTATTGATGTAGAGAGATTTTGGACGGTGAAAAAGAGGTAACTTGATCAGGTTTCCATAAAAATAATCATGTGGCCTCAAACATTATGTGTGGATGAAGGGGAACACAGCGCCACCGCATGGTGACCGTACGTGTATTTTATTTTATTAAAATTAGGGTTTAATAAAAAGCAGGTAAGTAGTAAAATGAATGAAGTGAGAGGTGTTGAAGGGAAGACGAGAGAGATTGTTAGAATAATATTGAGTGACTCTTAGGTTTATGTGAGTGTTTCCTTAAACAATGTGCAATTAGGAGAGGAAAGGAAAGGGGGTTGACTCTTGTGTGAAGGAAGGCATGATGAATAGTTTAATGAGAAAAGAATGGAGTGGGACAGTGATGATTAATATGGTTAGAGAATTGAGAGAGAAAGAGAAGGCGCCGACCTGCAACACCAGCGCATGAGCATGAGCCTTATGCCAGACATCCAGCCACCCGTACCTTGTTTATTGTATGTATTCACCTCCCACCATGCATCACTGCACCTTTCACCACACCCTACAACTATTTATAACTCTGCATAAGAAATTTTCTGCATTCTTAATCACTACCCTCAAATCTACTTAGCTTACTTCTATACAGCACAATGGATTGACAACACTTCTTACTTATAACCCAGTCATAGTTAAACGAATCATTAATTACTGTTAAATCAACTGTTTTTATCAAACAACAACTTCACTCTTTTACACTGCTATACAATTTTTACTTTTCATAACTATAATCCCTCCAAAATTTTCCCCAAACTGTCATCTTTAATTAGTTAACATTGCAAAAACTATTATACTTATGTCATCTGTGCTCAGGAAAAAACAGTGTTCATATATATATATATATATATATATTACATTCTTTTATTATTTCTCCTTTTTTTTAAGTATTAAAAAATAAGCATGTTAAATTACTTAAAATTTAAAATACATTTAATATGAGAATAATATAAAACTAGTTATATCTTGTAGACTGGGTTTATATCCCTCTATTGCACTGTGATTGGTATCAATGTGTATTTTTAGCTCACAAAATATGTGAGTCACATTTACACCTCTATATTCGTTACGGGGAGACCCAACGCAATTTTGTATTTCTATCTTAACTTTATGTTTTTGGTGAAAAAAAATGACAATTAAGAAGTAAATACACTAAAAAAAGAATAAAATACAAGGTACAAAAATTACATGGACCTTGCATAATTTCTGTTCCTTTTCTTTGAAAAATATATTGTTTCTTGTTTCTTTCTCCAATCCTTTTGTCGTTTTCATTGATTCAATGTTGAAATTGTCCCGAGACCACGATGAAAAACTCTTAGAATACATTTACTTTATTAATAATTTGTTAATTATTGAAAATAATAAACTATGTAAAACATGTATAGTTGTTTATATTATTCTATGTTATTTAAAAAAGTTATCGTATTCATTAAACTTCATAAGAAAATTTATTTTACATTTATTTTAAACTCAGGCATTAGAAAGTCTAAATGAATATTTAGATTCAATTTTGTAAGGAACTGGTATAAATTAAGTCTACCAGTAAAAGTGATTGTGTGTAGTGAATTTTGATATTTTATTGATTAAGTTATAATGATTATAAAAAAATGTTTTAATAATTTAAATTTTATTCATATCAAATTATTATTTATTGTTATTCATTTTCTCTAAGATATTACGAAAGTATGCATCAATGCTTCTAAAGTAAAATAGAATAATCATGTCCTATCGCTATTTTAATAAAGTAAGTTTTTTTTTTTTTTTAAGTATTTTGCAGGATCGGGATGTTCGACGTGAGTTTCAATACGTGTAAATTGTTGGATAAAGATAAATGTTGATACTTCAGGAGGAGATGATATATTCAATATTGATTAGAATTTTCTATGAATATGATTTAATCTTACAGATTTTAGATCATTTAAGGATTTTAACATGGGTAAGGAAAACTAATTTTAAATATTTTAGTACTATTTGAAAATAACGTGATCATAACATTTGTTTGTAAGATTTATACTAAGATTTATAATTAAAGTATGTATGATGGATTTAACAATATTTTAACATTTGGTTGAAGGTAATATTAATCTTTTATGTAAGTTAAACTTATGTTTTATTGATTTTGTCTTTTTTTCTATTTAATTATTTATAAAAGACTCAACAATTATATTATAAAGTGATTGATATATGTATGTTTTTTTAAAGGAAAACAACTAGGTTAATCTGATTAGGAAAAATTTTGGTTAAAAATAATAGTAGAAATATGTCATGATCTATTTGTCTACATTTAAATAGGATTTAAAAGATTTTTTATATCTGTATAATTTACTCACGTCATACACACTGTCTCTTGAGCAAAAATGAAATATAAAGCGAGAATTTCTCTTTAAAATCTGTGTTGTATTTTCATTTAAATATGGTGAAAATATTTTAAAGACGAAAGAAAAATTTGAAAATGATCTTATTTAAAAAAATTGTTCACTCAAACGAAATTTTGAATAATTTAAATGATAAATAACAAATGAGATTTATACTTAGTAGTTGTGATACGTAATTGTGTATATATTATAGTATAGTGATTACTAAGAAGGTGTTCCTCTGAAAGTGTGGTGTAATGTGTAGGGATTCAATATAAGATATTCTGATCCTACTTGTTAAATTTACACAAAGATACCGTGAAATTAAAAAATATTCATTTTACTTTATTTTAGACATGTATTCACCTTCTTAGAATTACACTATCATATATATATATATATATATATATATATATATATATATATATATATATATATATATATATATATATAAATTTGAATTCAATATTTAATCCTAAAAAGATATCAAATCTGTGTTGATAATATCGAGTATATATAAAGATGAAAAGTTTGAATGTTAATATATATATATATATATATATATATATATATATATATATATATATATATA